TTAATTTTCCTCCACCACACGCTGCTCTGTGTGTATAACATACAGGGATGCAGTGGGATCAGACATTTATAGGCTTGCTATTTATTAAACAACAGAACCAACCGTCTCGGTGTAGAGAAACATTCTACATCATATTTTAAAACAATAATCTTATCTTTAAAAATGATGAGCCACTACAGAGGCAAACTTCTGTACCTGAGCGCTCTGTCATACCACCTGCTGTTATCAGAGTTGGGCAGAGTGGAGTGCGTGATTGGTTGAGCGACTGAGAGAGAGGGAGCGGAGTAGAGCAGGGATGTTGACAATCTGACAACAAGTTTATATTTAACATCATATAGGGGATATATTCAATGGTTTCGGGGTTAAATCAATCAATCAATCAATCAATCAATCAATCAGTCATTATTTGTATAGCGCCAATTCATAACAGCTGTTATCTCAAGAAGCTTTGCAAAAGGTTACACACTCCAGATCTGTGCACTCAGCTTTATCTTGAGTCAGTCCAGGACTTGTTGTTTCAAAAAACTTTGAAACAACAATAAAAGTTAAAAAAAATATTTTTGGCAAAGCCACCGGAGAGGGGCAAAAGAGTGCCGACCTCCCGTCTATATTAAAAGAAGCATTACTGTATTTGATAATGACTTTAATATTCATCAGCATTTTCACATGTTTCCTTCAGCAGTAGAAGCTCCTGACCAGATGTCTGTTAGTAAAGATTGCGTCATTCAGGAGAAAAATGAAGAGCAGCAGCAGCATCAAAGCAACATAGACATCAAGATAACAGTAAAGCAGGAGGAAGAGGAACCTGTAAACGGTAAGAGATTTAGTTTACACAGAGGGCAAATATCGCTGAACACATCAAGGATAATAATAACTTCTGTTGTTCTTTACTACGGTAATTTACTGTGACCTTGTTCTTTGAATATCTGGATTAAAACAGGTTCTTCCGAATGGATTTCAGTTCAGCTCTATGTTTCTCTACATGGTGTGAGAAAAGAGAAAAGTTGTAACTCCTCTATTTTTTTCTGGTATGCAGAGCCTTCATCCACAAAGCTAGGTTTTTCTGACACATAATGTTTTTTATTTGCAACACAGCATTGGAATTATCGATTTGAAACTAATCTATGCTATATAAAGACACAAGTATCTCCCCATGTTTCAAACCTAAAGCAACATTAAACTGGTTTCAACTGAATAGTCTGGGAATCTGTCCCTTTAAGTGGTCATAATTAAAGCTTCTGTTGGGATTGTTAGGTACCGGTATCTCTTAAATTCATAAAAAAGTAACTTGTTATTCCGAGATAAATATGTAATTAATTCAGAAAAAAACAGATCCCATCTTTTTTGCATGTGACTCCAATACACTTTTGTGCATATTTACCTTTTTATTTATACAAAAGAATGACAACATCTGTGATAAATTAATAAGTGTTTTTGAAGTCAAGTCAAGTCTGGGTCAGGGTTTGTGGAACGGGGAACTGAAGTAATGGAAAAAAAGTAGGACGTGACCAATATAGGATTTTTGAGGCGATATCGATGTTGAGATCGATTAGGCGCGATCACACTGGCTTCACCCCTAAAGTCCAAGCTTCCACCATCGGACTGGTGAATAAATCTAGTAATATCTGTAATAATATAAGCCTATACTAATAGTCACTTGATTTGCTTATATCGGCCGATTTTATCGACTGGCCGATGAATCGGTTGGGCTCTAGAAAAAAGGTGTGTTAAACAAATATTAATGTGTGGAAGTTTGGGACAGCTGCCTATTCAAAGTGAGGTGAGGGGTTTCATGTAGCTCAAATGATGTAGGCTCCACCTTAAGAGAAGTTAGCCGTAGTTTCATTAAGCACCTCCCAAAGTGCTGGCACAAGTGAGCTAGCATCAGCACTAGCATTAGCCTTGAAGCTAGCTCCTACATGAGCCTCGATAGGCTGTTGACTATGCTCATCTCAATGCAACCTTCGTTTAAGCTTAAACAGTTTACAAGTGACTTGAAGGTTGATCATTGGATAGTTTTTTTTAAGAATTTATATAATTTCCTCATCTTTTAGATTATTTTATATATTTTTTTTCCTTTATTAATAGGCAATATTACAATAAAATAGTCAGGATGATATGCAGCAAGGGGCTGAGGGTTGGATAAAAGCCTCTGCACAAGGGGTTCCTGCTCTACTTACTGAGCAAAACCAGTACCGGCTCATTTCAGTCTTTTTGTTAAAGGATGCCCCAGTGAGCTGTGGTTTCACAGCAAAAATGATTTTGTTGAATAGTTACTTAGGATTTGGCTTTGTCATTTAATGTTTCCACAGAGTTTCAGAAGGTTCCTGATGGTGCCCCTGACAGTAAAGGAGACAGTCCTCCAGCCTCGCCGGTGCACGAGCAGTCAAACAACAATGTGAAAAAGAGCTCTTACTGCTGCGGGCTCTGTGGAAGAGACTGTCACAAAATGTCCGCTCTTCAGATCCACATGAGAATTCATTCAGGAGAGAAACCTTACCAATGCAATTTGTGTGGGAAACAGTTCACCCAGAAAGGCCAGCTTAAAGGTCACCAGAAAGTCCACACCGGAGAGAAACCGTTCTCCTGCCCCGACTGCGGTAAGAGCTTCGCCCACTCTGGGGCCATGAACAGACACCGGCTCACGCACACGGGAGAAAGACCGTACCACTGCTCTGTGTGCGACAGGAGCTTCAACCAATCAGGACGCTTGCGGGAACACGAGAAAATCCACTATGGGGAAAAGTTTGACTGTCCCGAGTGTGACAAGAGTTTCACACGAGCTTCAAGCCTTAAGAACCACTTCAGGCTCCACACCGGAGAGAGGCCATATGGCTGTGACATCTGTGGGAGAGGCTTCAGCCGCTCGCAGAGCCTGCGGCTTCACAGACGAAAACATGATCTGAATCAGACTGAGGAGGAGTCTCCATTCATTGTTGAAAATGAGGATTCCTCACAGAGCGACGATAACTCTCCTATTAATATGTGTATAACAGACAAAAACGACTTATAATGTATTTATACAAACCATGAAGCTATGGACCAGTAGTATTGTTTCAATACAACGTTATTGGCAGTTAAACATGAACTGTAAGAAGGAAAAGTAAGGGACTACCTCTCTGTGAAGATACCAGATAAACCTTAACATGATGGTTGAAAAAAGTGTTACAGCAAAAATATTTAACTCCTAGATAGTTGGCATAAAAAAGAATAAACAGACACAATATAGGATGGGGTTCTGCAACTTACAACACAGTCTCAGACAAAATGACCAAACAAATATTTACAACACACAATTTTTGTAAAATGTTGGAAACTGTCTCGATGATACATTTTAGACGTCCTATGTACTCTCATTTATTACTCTTAACTACATTAGTTTCACACTCACATGAGTATTTATGATAGAAGAAGTAAATTATTTAAGGTCTTTGATTTCAAGTTGTCATGCTGTAATTCTCATTCAAGCTAATCATATATATGTGGAAATGAAATATGTTTTTCTATCAGAGGTCTTCGGGGCAAATGAGCAGTGTATGAATGAGATGAAACTAGATTTCATTGTTGGTATTACAGGAACTAAAATGAAAGAATTGAATCAGGAATGAGGCAGTGGGATCATGATCTTCATCTTTTTTGCCTAAACCATTTTGCCTTAGTGGTGAATAGTTTGTGCGTCTCTGTTTTTGTGTAGCAGTTTTTAAATAACCAAATCATGCATCATCAGGCTCACCTGGTTTGTATGACTCTAAAAGGCCAGGTGAACATTGTGAATAAAGGAAACATTCTCCTGAGGCTGTGATGCAAAAAGCATTGCTATGATGCTATGTAGGAGGTTAATTTCACCCTGCACTGCCTCTATATAATGTATGGGACATGTTTTATTGAACAATTAAAGTGAAAGTACTGAGGAATATTATGCTTGTGGATTAATGACTGAGGAGATTATGTTTATAATATAAGATATAAGAAATTTACATATTTCATACATTTACAGTTCTTTATCTGTATATATATTTTTAAATATTTGTTAATTAAGGTTTTGCTGGCCTAGTAAACCAAACATAGTGACTTTTCTCTCAAATGAATACACTGTTTGCAAGTAAATCATGAAAAATTGGATGTGATTTTTTTCTCATTGAGGATTTTCCTCCAGAAATGAAGATGTGAAAAAAATCTCTTAAATAAAGTTTGAACAGATTTCGACGTTATTGTTTCCCAAAGGATACAGAACATTGTTAGAGATCCACATGTCAAGCAGCTTTCAGCATATTTAAATGTAATAACCTTATATGGAAGCAGGACAGAAAAAGCTGTTAAATATACCTTACACAGCACAGTGTATAGCAGTATGTGCTAGGAAACTAGAGTTTTGCTGGGCCATATAAGACTTTCAACCAATGTTTGAGGAATATTTTAATCCTTTAAACTAATTTGAACTGTTCTCTCAACATTTCGAAGTCAGTCTTAATTCTGTCAGGTCTGAAATATTTAAAAGACTAAATGTTCCTGGAAATTAAGCTTTTTGCATTTGCATGTTATACAGTTACACTATTTGATACTGTTTGTTCTGTAAAGTGATTTCTATATGATTGAAGTAAGTTTTACCAGTCAAAGCACCTTTAGGGGTAATACGCTCACTCGGATATTTTTAAGGAAACTTATGGATAATATTAAAGTTTACAATATTTCTCGTTTTCTTGTTGAAAAAAAAAAATACAATTTATGTTAAGATTTTATAATTCACAAGCTGCTCCTGAAGGGAGCACCGTATCAAGTAAACGCAACCCAGCTCCATTCTGCGTAAACAGCCTTTGCGTAAACACAAATACATTTAAAATAGTATAATATCTTAAAAAAAACGCACAATTATATGAAATGTGGAGTTCATAGACTGTAAATATTAAGGTAGAGTTACGTTTACATTTCTAGACCACCGGAAATACAAACAATTGTTGAAAGTGTCTTAAAGCGGAAGTTATCGAAATTACGAGGTACAGTGAATAGGACATGAAGATCAACAGACGCACGCTATGCAGACGGTCTGGGTGAACAGCCTGACGACAAACTTAACCAGCTAGCCAACGAAGCATTTATTTAATGGAAAACTTGCTCTTCAAGCCAGTTCTTGTGTGTCTGCGAAACCCAAAGTAAAAACAGGTAAGAAATGATGTTGCCGTCGCCCTTGTCAGCTAACATTAGCTCTTCTAAGCTAAAGTTACTCTGCTATTAAAGGGAGCTTACCTCACAATCATTAACTCTCGCATGAGTACTTATTGTTTACTGTTTTATTATAAATACCTTAGTATTTCCAGACTGTCCAAAAATACTGCACTGAAGTTGGTGGCCACATGTTTACGTGATGAACTTTGACATTCTCCTGGTTTCTTATCATTGGGCTGGACTCGCTGTAGTTGGTCACAGCATAATGTTGTTTGTACACGAAGAGCAAGCATGGGCCTTCTTGACAGCGCAACTTTAGATTCTAATAATATAAAAGGTCACTTAAGGTTTTGTGTTTGATACTTACATAATGTAAAGTTTACGTTTAATTCATGTAGTTGCCATAGTAATGAAATGTAAACCCGTGACCTTAAAACGAAAGGTAAATGTAACGGGTTTAAAGTTCGGCATAACTTCATTACCGAGTTAAGAACATTAACAATATGTGAGTTGATTAAAGTGTTACTCCACAGCCAGGATTAAAGCCTCACTCCCGGCACTGCAAAATATTGTAAAAATGATTTGAAGTGGACAAAAGGGCCGAGGAAGAGGTTGAAGGTGTGGGAATGGATGTTCTTTATTCTGGAGTTTCACACTGACATTGATTTGACATCGTAAACATTGATTAAATTTCATGTAGATAATCATTATCCTACAAGGTTCATGGCAGACTGAAATGGTAGATAGCATGTATGTATATGCCATTTAAACATTACAGTTTTTAAAATACAGAAATGTTTATAAATTAATGGATTTATACTGTTAGGATATGTCAGACTGCTGGGTCAGAAAAAGCACAAGAAAAACAGTACACAAAATATACATCCTTATGAAAGGGAAAAGTATTATAATCTACAATTGAAGAGTTTGCATGGATTGAAGGAGATTTAATGTGAGATTTGTGTGTGTTTACTGTAATGTTCATAAAGAATTCTCCTCTTCAGTTAGATTACAACCTCCCATTTTTTGTTATGCAAAACTTCTGCCTGCTGTTACATCTCCTCATGGTTATAGTATTAAAAGAAACCATTCAAATCATTTTCACTTCACATTCTTCTGGTCACATTTCTCTTTCTCTTCTCAAATCCTAACAGGAAACACAACTGAACTTTGTTCTGCTCTTTCTGTCTCTCTTTCTCTCATGTGGTCAGTCTCTCACTTTGACAAAGTCACACTATCAGTATGGTGTCTTATAAGCGGCTGAACCCTGAAGATGTTCAGTTTTCCAGTGCAGTATTGTTAGAGGAGCCTCGTCCTGTCCGTGAAGAAATTCCAGTGAGTTTATTTTTTTTATGTTCACTTTTTCCAATGTCTCAAACCTTCTGCAGGGATTTCTCCAACATGCAATCTGACTACTAATTTGACATTGTGCCTTTGATTAATCATGCAGAAGTGCAACACATGTTGAAGAAGTCTTGTTGCTTTCTTTAAGTTATTGCAAGGCAATATATCTTTTTCTTTTGCTTCATTGCACATCAGCTTTTGATGTCAACCTGAATGGATGGCACTATAACACACAGAGCGGGATGATTAATTGCAGTGTCCATCTGGCATATCATACATGACAGATATAACATGAGAGTGAAAACATTGAAGTTCAAGACAAAACAGAAAAGAGACTTGACACTTCATTGTAGAGAAGATGTTTCAAGTGACTGTGTGTTTTTCCCAGGTTAAAATGATTTAATTTAAATAAGAAGAGAGGTTCCGTTAGCTCTGCCTAGAAACAGACTATAGAAATGTTTATGAGAGGGTAACTTTTTTATGTTTCAACTCTGAGACATTTTCAGAGGCTGTCCTTTATTAGTTTTAAGTAAAGAAGTTGAATCGATTTTTCTGAAGGTTTGGTGCTTATTCTTTTTCGATTCAACAGGCGACAGACTTATCCATTATCGGTTGGCTCTAACTATTTGTGTCTGTAGTAAATTGTAATTACTGTCTGTCTTGGACACTTTTCTAAACAATGAGACTTTGTTGTGATGTTTAAAGGTGCCAGAGCAAGAAGAAGCCACCCTGCTTCCACGGAGGCCAACATGCTCCATCACCACAGGTCTCTTGGTGATTGGCTTCCTGCTGCTGCTCCTCTGTGGAGGCTGGCTGCTGGGCACCATGTTCTGGCTGCACAATCCGTCCAATCCGTCCAACCAAGGCCCACGTAGACCCCCGTCACCAGCCGCCTCACCAACTTTAGAATATGAGGAGAAAAAGAAAGTCATGAACGACACTGAAGCCGCCGCCCGCCGCGAGGCTTGTACTTTAATCCCTGAGGCGTGGAGATTTGATTGCTACCCTGAAAGAGGCGCGATTGTGACCCAACAGATGTGCGAGGCAAGGAATTGCTGTTTCATCCCAGCATCTTCTCCCGCCTCCTCGGCCTCCAGCACCTCACGGAGGAATGGTATCCCCTGGTGTTTCTATACACCGGATTTCCCTTCCTACTCACTTGTGTCAATTGAAGACACGCCCCTGGGACAGAAAGGGAAGCTGGTAAAGGATGTGAAGACCTACTACCCAGCAGACATCCTCAATCTAGAGGTGGAGCTCCGTTCTGAGACGGACACGCGGCTTCATGTGAGGGTAAGTCTATGCAAGTGTAGCAGGAAGAAGTTATGACTTCAACCCCTGGTCAGCTTGTATTAATAATCAGTGTTGAGGACTTCACACAATAAGACTCAGTTGACTCGGATGGCTTACGTTGATGAAAGTTTATACATAAGATGAATACTGGAGGAGACATGGATCAACATCGCACTTCTGTACTCGTGTCTTGCTCTATCACATCTGCAGAACTCTTCGAAAGGCATCGCATATATCCCAAAAGACATTATCATTATCAGGGTTGTGTCACATTGACCCACCTAGACTAATCTGTGATGTTGATTACACTGGAGCAAGTCTAGCAAACATCTTTGCAGATATCAGGAAAAACAGCTGACACTCTCTAAGCTGTACTTGGTGTTCTAGTCACAGCTGAACTCTGTCAGGTCTGACTGACATTAGAGAACAGTGAATAAACCTAATGACGTCTGTACATTATAATCTAAATAACGACAGAAATTCCACCACAATTACCTATTGTGTGTTTCTTTTTAACACTGCTTAATTTATGGGAATTTTTCATTGATAATAAGACAATGCTTTTAAACCCTTCTCACTACAGACTTTTATTTGGCCTATAATGTTCCTCAAATGTGAAACCCCCTCCTTAAATTCGCTTGGGACCAACTGGATCCAAATCTTGGCATGCACAGCAGAACTTCTTCTGAGCGTATAGTTTCACATACCATAGCAAGAAAAACACAGCTGTTTTCCATAACATGACTATAGGCTGCATTCACCTTAGAGGACCTGGAATTGTGCAAGCTGGCTCTCTGGAGTAGCTTTCTCTTTCACATAATGGAATCATTCTGCTCAATGACACTGTGCTTTTCCTGCTGTGACAAGGCAAAGTGTCTTTGCAGGCCAGGGCCAAAGTCCATAACATGACCTCACTTCTTAGGATTCTGCCATGATATTGGACAATCAGCTGATCCTGGCTGTCCCGAGATTAAGGTCAAAGTACGGTGGAAGATGCCCCCAAACTCTGGAACATCTTGCTCCTTCACTTTGTGATTAAAACCCTTACTTAAAAAAAAAACACGCTATTTCTTCGATTTTGTTCGTTTTGAGAGATGGTCTTCTTTTTTCAGAATAGAAGTAAAGAAATAATACTTTATTTTGATTACATGTGAGGGTGAGTAAGTCTACGCAAGAGTAGCAGTATGAAGTTATGACTTCTCTGCATGCACTTAACTTTTAATGTCTGTGCAAAGAATTTAAACTTTTGAAGCATCAAATTATTCAGTATCTATTAGAGGTACATGCAATCACACTGATTAGCTGTTACAAAATGACTGTAAAAGCATGAAAGAGTTGAGAATATGTTGTGACCAATGTGCCGATCTTCTGATCAGACCTGTAGGTGTTAAGGTGCTGTCATGAACTTTACAGATTAGCTGATGTAGTTTTATAACACTGGCGGTAAACTGTCCCATCTGTAATTTAACTACAACCTGTTTGTTTATTTGAATTTTCCTTTCTCCAGATTACTGACCCCTCAAGTTCAAGGTTTGAGGTTCCCATCTCTGTTCCCACTGTCACCAAGAAGGCTGAAAGTCCAGACTACATCATAGAGCTTTCGAAGACGCCGTTCGGTCTCATTGTGAAAAGAAAATCTACAGGAACGGTGCTGTAAGTCTGATTTGAGTAGGCTGTATTTGGTTAGATAAAGAACAAAACCCACTGTATTTTGTGACATAATAGAAAATGTTTTAATATCCTGTGCCCCCTCACAATTGTTTCCTGTTAGTCTGAACACCACCGTGGCTCCTCTCTTCTATGCTGACCAATTTCTCCAGTTCTCCACCTCCCTGCCCAGCCAGTTCATATATGGCCTGGGGGAGCACCGCTCCACCTTCCTACATGACGTCCACTGGAACACACTCACCATGTGGGCCAGAGACGTGCCTCCTATGGTATTAGCCTTATTCTCTTTGTCATTCTCTTCTTTATAGTAACAAAAAAATAGGCTCAAATATTAACTTTTAACTGATGGGTCTTTTTTCACAGCAGATGTTTTACGAGTAAAATAAACTATAGCTCATAAACTCAGTTGTAATAGAGGTCATTCAGTCTTGTGTAGTCTAGTGCATGCTAGAGGAGTTGATCACAGACATAATAAAATATTGCATAGGCTGGTTGCACTTCTGTGTGCTTAATTTGCACTGATTAAAATGAAAAAGTGAAAAGACTCTGATATACTTATAGCAAAGAAGACTGACTCAGCATGGCTTACAAATGTTGCGTTAAATAGAGATAAAAATTCCACTCTCGTTAACGACGACTCCTGGTCAGCTTGTAATAGTTTAGGAGACTTTGAATGTAGTCATTAATAATAAGACAATGCTTTTAAAGCCCTCTCACTACAGACTTTTATTTGGCCTATAATGTTCCTCAAATGTGAAACCCCCTCCTTAAATTCGCTTGTGACCAACTGGATCCAAATCTTGGCATGCACAGCAGAACTTCTTCTGAGCGTATAGTTTCACATACCATAGCAAGAAAAACACAGCTGTTTTCCATAACATGACTATAGGCTGCATTCACCTTAGAGGACCTGGAATTGTGCAAGCTGGCTCTCTGGAGTAGCTTTCTCTTTCACATAATGGAATCATTCTGCTCAATGACACTGTGCTTTTCCTGCTGTGACAAGGCAAAGTGTCTTTGCAGGCCAGGGCCAAAGTCCATAACATGACCTCACTTCTTAGGATTCTGCCATGATATTGGACAATCAGCTGAATCCTGGCTGTCCCGAGATTAAGGTCAAAGCACGGTGGAAGATGCCCCCAAACTCTGGAACATCTTGCTCCTTCACTTTGTGTTTTAAAACCCTTTCTTAAAAAAACGATTTTCCTTGGCTTTTGATCGGTTTGAGAGATGGTCCTCTTTTTCAGAATAGAAGGGAAAGACTTTAGAAATGCTTCACCTTAAGAGGTGACATTTAGACATCCAAAGCAACATCCAGAAGACATCCATTCAAGTAAACGGTATAATAAATTGCACTGAGAAAAAAGATATATCGCACACGCATTGAAATTGCACTGGTTGGATAATCTATTGCACTATTAGAAAAACAAAGTGCACTTATGGAGAACTGCTTTACTCTAGAAGAATAATATATAGCACTGGTTGAAATGTTATTGCACTAGTGGAAATGTATGTATCACACTACTACAATTGTGATTATTGGGCAAAAGATGTAGGGATGTAGAATAAGGGAATAAAAAAAAAATACTAAAAAAAGCACACAAAGGAGAGACGTGAGCAGCTGAGACCTTTATGGATACATCTGGATTCAACTGAATGCAGTGTACATCTTTGTATATATATGAGATGAAATTGGCTGTAACGTTGTTGTGTTCCTCTCAACAATTTAGGAGCAGACAAACCTGTATGGAGCCCATCCTTTCTACCTGCTGATGGAGGATGGCGGGAACGCACACGGCTTCTTCCTGCTTAACAGCAACGCAATGGGTGAGTCTGTTAGTCGCCCTGCAAACTTTCACTTCAGCTTTCTCTGTGTGCAATAATACACAAGTAGTTATTGGCAGAGCTGTGAACTGAGCAGACTAATACAGTGTTGTAACTGGTTAAATAACAACATTAAGCAATTTGATGAAAACTGAAGTCCCAATCGGCAGTTACTTTCATGAGCTTTGTGTAGCTGCAGCGTCAGTAAGTTTCCACTTCACAGTGCTGTACAGGGGTCATTCAGAGGTTAGGTTATATTTACTAGAGAAGATACTGAGCAATCCTTAACTTAAAATTGTGCAAACTAAATCAACATTAAATATGAATGGTTTCTCTTTGCTTCTTTTCACGAGGGGGTTTAAGCACCAATTCTTAAAGTTTTAATTAAGGCTGTCAAACGATTACATTTTTTTAATCCCGATTATTCCCTACATTTCATTAGTTAATTGCATTTTTATTCACATTTGTGAAATGTGATTATTTTGCATTTGAATATGAACTTGTTTATTTTAAAGTTTTTTACAGTCTTAAAACGAGAGTACTTTACTTGCTGTTTAAATTAACCCGGCTTTTATTTTGATATGAAGGTTACAACATAAACTAAACAGCAGAAAACTGAACCATCAATTAATCCTTTATTTTTTTTTTATTAATAAATAGATTAATTTCAGACTTTAATTAATTGTGATTAACAAGTGAATGCTGAAAGCTGATTTTAACGCAGATCCCATCACAAATGTTGTTTACAAGGAGCCGTACTCAGCAGCTGAGAATATTTATATAACTGACATTTTACCCATTCAATCCCAGGGTGTTTTTTTATTTAATTTGATCTCAAGCTTCACAGAGATGCATTTCCTAACGGCCAGACTTAAACTCTAACATTGTAAAGAATAAATTTAAATCTTTTTTTTTTTCTTCCATCAGATGTGGCTCTTCAGCCCGCCCCCGCTCTCACCTGGCGGACGATCGGTGGAATCCTTGACTTTTACCTTTTCGTCGGCCCTGATCCGGCTGCAGTGATTGAACAGTATATCGAGGTCATAGGTGAGGAGGAGTTTTGCTGGGATGTTTGAATGTTCTGTGTCATAGTTGCATGAGTCCTTCTTACTGACCAACAACTTATTGTAGACTTAGAAATAGATGGTTCAAACCCTGTTCGGGGTTCCTGTAGAACAGTAGCTGTTGTTGATAGTAGAAATGATTGTGCTGATTGACATTGTATTGTATTACCTAGATCGATTAAACAACCATAAACAGACTGACTTCAGGGAACATAAACAAAAACCACTTCACGTTGCTTCAGTGTAAAGATGTTGCCTTTCCCCTTGTTGTTTCAAAGGAGAGATTTCCACAATTTCCCAGTTTGGGATCAATAAAGTAAATCTATTCTATTCTATTCTATTTTTTAAGCAAATTAAAATAAACAAATAGGATTAGACTATACAAGACCTTGCTGTGTAGAGTGGTCTTCATGGGTTTGCTTATAAAACACCAGACCCTGTGTCAGTTTCCCTCAATTCTTTAATTTGTCACTGACGATATCCTCCTACATCTCTTACCTTCTCTCTCTCTCTCTCTCTCTCTCTCTACAGGCTTCCCAGCGATGCCCATCTACTGGGCTTTAGGCTACCATCTTTGTCGCTGGGGTTACAACACTAGTGATTCCACCTGGGAGGTTGTCAAGAGATTAAGGAACTATGGGATACCTCAGGTAAAATAAAAAGACCCAACAGATTGTTTACTTGTGTTTCTTTGAAGACAGCTTATTATTAGTTGTGTGTCTTTTTGTACTCAGGACGTCCAGTGGAATGATATCGATTACATGGACGACTCTAAGGACTTCACTTTTGACTCGACAAAGTTTGCCACACTTCCTGATCTTGTCAAAGACCTGCACGCTCACAACCAGCGCTACGTCATGATGCTGGTACATAGAAGTTTGTATTTGTCTTCACAGATGTGTGTTGTGTCTCATTTGGGCTGTTTATGTAAGAGCTGTGTCTCCTCCTGCAGGACCCAGGAATTAGCAGCACCCAGCCTGAGGGTTCCTATTGGCCGTTTGATGAAGGGCTGAGGAGAGACATTTTTATCAGAGATGCTGAAGGAAAAGTACTCATTGGACAGGTGAGAAAATAGACCCCATCCCAAATCATTCAAAAGTGTCGGCTTAATGCATGAAATGCAGCAAAAGGAAACAAATATAAAGGTAGTTGCGATGAGAAGAGGTAGTGCAGCAACTTCATTTGGAAAGACGGTTGTACAACATCCTATAAGATTAATTGCAGCAACAACTTTGTCTCTGTGTAGCTTTCCCTTCTGTTCGTCGCCACCTTGAACTTGTTTTCAGCCTGTCTGAGTCTCATGCTTTACACCTGAGACTCATGATTTCATGCCATTCCTACTCATTGTAAATATTAAAACATCAGACTTTCATGCAGTGAATTATAATGGGAAGCAGCAGAGTAGTACATCATGTTAAGAAATGTTACCACTATCTTTTTAAAAAGTGGCACCACCTTGAAGCAGCAAGCGTCAGAGCAGTGATAAGTTGGTACGAACCAACAACTTTGGTTTACAAAGTTTAGAGCACATCCATCGGCTTGGCTCACTTATAAGATATGTCTATTTAATGCTCCTAAATTATAAGTTATGCAGCAGCCACAGCTTCATCCAAATAATCATAAAACTGCTTGACATCTTTTCATCAAGCTATAAAAAGTGTCAAGCATCTGTATCATTACAATGGCGTCAATGTCAACCCTCTACAACTCTTCCATCATCCTCTGCTGTCAAAAAGAAAATGTCAAAGGGCTTTGAAACATCATTTGTCTGTCTCTTCCTGCAGGTGTGGCCTGGTCTAACAGCTTATCCTGATTTTTCTGATGAAGCGACGCATGAGTGGTGGTACGACAACCTCCAGAGGTTCCATGAGAAGGTGCCGTTTGATGGATTATGGATTGTAAGTAAACAATAACTATTAAACGACTGACTTCAATACTGCTTGCTATGTTACATGATGTCATTTTTAGGACCTTTGTCTTGTTCATTTTAAGGACATGAACGAGCCGTCGAACTTCATGGACGGTTCAACCATTGGCTGTCCATCAAACAGTCTTGAAAATCCTCCATACATGCCGGGTAAGAGCATGGACCTGATATTTAGCAGTTTTCTGTTTTTTATTTATAGGATTGTCTCTTTTCACTTTTTTTCCCTGGAACACTTTGTGCTCCTGTGCTGTACAGAAAATAATTCTTCTTATTATCGTGTGATTTTTACATTCAGTATATTTCATTTCAGGTGTACTGGGAGGTTTGCTGAGAGCCAAAACTTTGTGTGCCACTGCACAGCAGAAGCAGTCCATACACTATAATATACACAGCCTCTATGGACTTATGGAAGCTAAGGCATCTGCAAGGTATAGATCTTTATCACACACAAATACAGCAAAATGCTGAACAGTGAAATTTCTAAAAATAATTGAATACATTTATTATTTTTCCCTGTAACCTTCTGCCTCTGCTCTGTCTTTTCTCACTGTCTGTCTTTCAAGTGCTCTGAAGCGGATTATTGCAAAGAGGCCGTTTATAATCTCCCGCTCAACCTTCCCCAGTCAAGGGATGTACTCGGGTCACTGGCTGGGAGACAACAGGAGCCAGTGGAAAGACCTGTATACTTCTATTTCAGGTGTGATCATTCAGACACAGAATAAACTAACACAAAAGATTATTTTATTTGTATAGCACATTTAAAACAGTTTGACTTTACCAAAGCTCTTCACAGGCAAAATGGACAATGAGCAACGATAATGTGAAGAGATATACTAAAAGGTTTTAGCTTAAGGTGGTGCTGATTGGTCTGGCTAGCATACAGAAACAGACGGCCCAGGTTTGACTCCTATCCTTGGCTGGTTTCCCAGGTTATTCCCAATTCTCTCTCTCTCCCCAGTTTCCAACTCCACCCTCTGTCCTATCAAAATAAAGGCATAAAGTCCAAAAATAAATCTTTAAACAGAGCGAGAGATTTAGCTTATTTCAAAGGCCAAATAATTAAAAGGCTTTGAAAGAATGTGCAAGCTCTTCTTCAAAGACTTCATGTTTAAGTTGAGCCTGTAAAACTGATGACAAATGGGCGATGACAACAAACTATGAGCCGATCAAAACAGAAAAGTCAAACAGGGAGGTTCTAGAAGATTTTCCATAAACTTGTTGCTTTAAAATTGCATAAAAATGACAAATTTTGGACGGATCCTTTCGCTGGAAACAAACATAAAAAAACAGTTAAAGATATCTAAATTAAGAGCACTATAAAGAAGATAAACCACCTACATACATTTATACAATAACATGTCTCACTTCACTTCATTATAAAGCCTGTCAGTTTTTACAAACACTTCGTCATCTGAACTTTGTGTTGTCGTCATTTGTTGTAAAGAAGACATTAATATCGAAGAACTCAAGAAAGACATGATCATGCATATTTTTAAATTCTGCTTCATTTTGGTAGAAACCTTTTCTCCTTTGCAACCTTTATCCAGGCTTTAGTCATTTGTGAGACGTAAATCTACAAAGAACTCTACAGAGCTGTTGACCTCTTTCAGCTTCTCAGAGCATAATAACCCGATGAAAAGTGATTACTCAGCACAAAAAACCCACCCGACAATGAAAGCAAACTAGACAGTAATTTAGAATATATTTAAAGGGCTTGATGAAACATTTATGTAGTCGGACAATTGTTTATACAAAGCTTGTGCCATTCTCAAGATGTGTATTTTGGTTTTTATGTGGCAGCTGCGTCTTTTATTGCACAAACTACTATGTACTTATTCTGTCAACAACATTATCATAAAGTGTGCCAGTGCCACTTATTTTTATCTTTGTGTGAACGTTTCCATTCAGTGGTTTATCAATAGATCTCTCCGATTCTTTACTGCCTTCTCGTTTTCAAGTTTCTTTCCTCCTGACATCACCCACCTCTCTGCTTCTCCTCTAGGTATGTTGACCTTTAACCTTCTGGGCATCCCGTTGGTGGGAGCAGATATTTGTGGCTTCAGTGAGGAGCCACAGGAGGAGCTCTGTGTCCGCTGGACGCAGCTGGGAGCTTTCTATCCCTTCACACGCAACCACAACGCCATCGACATGAAGGTACTTCCCTTACATACTCTCTTGAAGTTATAACTTCAAAACTACCATCACTACTATTTGTAGCAGCACTTTACTAGTGATTCCCCCCCCCCCGCCAACCACCCTTAAAAACACCCAGAAGTTAGAAATAAAAACATGGATTAGATGAAAAGGGAAACCAGAAATACTGAGCTGAAAGGTGAAGACTGAAGCTTCAGTCTGTTGTTCCCTCCACTTTCACCTTACTTATATTTACAGTAAACACTTTCACCACCAGGTCTAAGATATACAAGAACCAAACAAAAGCTTGAAACATTTCAATATAAATTAAAACAAATGTTGAAATTATTCATCCTCAAGACAAAATATCAGAACCAAAAGTTTGTCTCTGTTTAATGTTCATTCATGATCTTGATTTACACACTTCACTTTTATAAATCTTTAGTCATATTTATTCTCACAGTTACTCAAAAAATCCTGTTCCGTTCAGCTCATACTGCCTCTCTCTAATTTACAAGAACCTTTAAATGCAGTAAAGAAATGACATTATCTGTGCAGTTTAAAGATCAACTATCATATACAACAGATTTGTAGAGCATTTTATATCATATTAATAGCAGGGTTATTCATGATATGATGCGATATAATTTGATATGATATGGAGCCCAGGATTAGGATAATGTCACCCTTCAGTGATTCTGCAGTAAGTGATTTATTACAAGACAATCGTATAGTGAAAAGTCTTGATATCTGATAAACTACGGAATATATAAGGCTGCTACAAAGTGCAGGATTAATGGATTCATTCAAAGCAATTTCACTTATCACGCAACTTATTTTCACCTCTGTCTCACATTACCCTGCTGTCAACTTCTTCTTAAACGTCATTTAACCTCATGACTCCAACCCCCTCATGTCACACGGTGACGAGTCATGAAGTGGTCACGCAGCGAGTCATACTGGCAGGGAAACTAAAAAAATCATGATACTTAGTAGCAGCAATTTGATGAGTATAGACACATGTCGGGACCATGATATATTGCGGTATCCATATTTTGTACCCTAAAGTAAATTTTTCTTTGACTGGTTCACGAAAATCTGATCGATTTTAAAAAAAAAAAAAAAAAAAAAAAAAAAAAAATTCTAATAACTCTGTTCTGTATCTTTAAATAACATTGGTATTGATTTTGAATGTGATGCATATTTGGTTAAAATTGGTTAAAAAAAAAGTGATTAAACTATTCTGTCTTTATAACACCCATACAAAGTATTTCTTAACTCATTGCACCACTTTGCATTATATTTAACAGCCCTTCACTCCTTTTATGTGAAATGTTCTATTTTTTCTCAAACCGATTTTCTTTTTTTTAGCCACAGGACCCGACAGCATTCAGCGCTCTGGCTAACACAGCCATGAAGCAGGCTCTGCTGCTGCGTTATTCTCTCTTCCCTGTCCTCTACACGCTCTTTCATCACGCACATGTTCACGGACACACGGTGGCACGGCCCCTCATGTTTGAGTAAGTGATGCTGTCTGATTGAACTTAAACTGGGAACTTATGTGATTATGATCTATTTTTTAGAGGGATAGTGCACAAGTACATGTAATTGAACCAGAGTTAACTAATGGCTAATTAGCATCTGTTGTACCTAAGCAGGTAGACGAATAATACATAACAGGAAGTAGATTATCTTAAACACCAGAATATGTGAAAAGTTAATTTGAATGGACATTAGACTTTACAAGACATCATTTTTATGAAAGACTATTTATGAACATAAAACAGCCCTATAAAAATGTCCATCAGTATAGAGAGTAGATCAGTATTATAAACAGTATATGCAAGGCAATCATCAGCGACTACAGTTTTGTGCTGATTTCAGCTAGAACCAGCTCTTGGTTTTAAACTCTGCAAAGCTTTTTTGAGTCTCCAATGTTTGCACATAGAGATCTCTGACATACTTTATCTGGAATGTTGTCAAAAGGTTCCCGAAAGATGTAAGAACCTACGGCATTGACAAACAGTTCCTGTGGGGGAAGAGTTTACTGGTGACACCAGTGTTGGAGCCTGGAGTTGATTACGTGATCGGCTACTTCCCAGAGGGCCTGTGGTACGACTATTATGTGGTAAGGACCCACACACACACACACACACACACACACACACACACACACACACACACACACACACACACTCACAGACTGTGCATTTTGACCCAGAGGATGGAGACAGTGTGTTTACTGCTTGTGTTCTGATGTTGTCATCGTCTTCTTCAGGGCGATGCTGTTCACAGTAAAGGTGAAGAACTTCGACTCCAAGCACCGCTAGATAAGATCAACCTGCATTTACGTGAGGGCTCCATCATAGCCACACAGGTGAACATTTTGCTTCCTTCTAGATAGATTTCATCTGCGCATCATGCATCTCTTTACATCGACACATCTCTTGATTTCTTTTACAACACGTCTTAAAACTCACTTTTACAGACTTGCTTTAATGTCTTGTCTGTATTATGAAATGCATTTTTTTGTCACCTCTCTTTCCTTTTCTCTATTTACCCCTGTAATCGATTCATCTGTTCTTAAGTCCTCTTCTGATGTCCTATGCTTACAGTAATCAATTATTTTGATTTACTTATTTATCTTTCATTTTAATGTTACAAATCTTTCATCTTTTTTTAATGAACATTTTGATTGTCTTTATTGCTTTTCATCTATTATTTAAATATTTATTCTTATAATCTATTATAATTATTTACTTATCGTCGTGTTTTATCACATGTGTTCCTGTATTTTGCTTTTATTCTTGTAGATATTTTGATATGCTTTTTCTCTCTCTCTTGTTGAATTGAATACTGTCTCTGTCTTGCCTTACTGTGGAGTATTTATTCTGCTATACGTCCAAGTTCCTGCCCGCGCTCTGTCAGTCCATGCATTTTGTAAATATCTGTTTTTCAAAGTGGATCTGAAAGGTAGTAGCACTCAGTCATGTACAGTTATGAGAGGAAACTTGGAGGTGGAGCTGAATGGAGCTAGCTTGCCTGACACAGACTAAATAATAAGCGCTATTTGGAATCATGAACCTTTCATTAATTTTTGTTAAAGTTACGTGGAGGCAATTCTCTTTCAATGTGAGCATTAATAAAAGTTTGACTTACTAGTGAGCGTGACTCATCCCTATGTCTAATGTTGTGTTTGTTTCACATGAACAGGCTCCCAACCTGACCCTGTGGGTGAGCAGCGGTCAGCCCCTCCACCTGGTCTCTGCTCTCTCTGACGATGGTTCAGCCAGCGGGGATCTGTTTGGGATGATGGAGAAAGCATCGACACCTATGAGACCAACAAATACGCCTACATCATCTTCAATATTACTCAGGTGCCAAAACTGTTTTATGACCTCACAAGTTTCCCAGAAGGCTTTTTAAAACCTACACAGAGCTTTTCTTAAGTACTGTGATTTAATTCAGGGGTCTGTGTCGAGAGGAGAAAGAAAGTCTTACATGGATTTATTTAAACACGTCTATGATGGTTAACGTCTAATGCTTTACTACAGAGGACTTTACCCCTCAGTGACAAACTGGCAGATCAAATATATTAACATCTACATTTATTACAGCACATGTATTAGCAAACATTTGCTTTTTTAATTATCCAATAAATCATAGCATCAGCGTTAATGTATAGTGGTTAAAAGGGAACTAGACCGGTTATTCTCCCTGCTTCTCCTCTGTTTTTTATCTCGACCAATTCCTAAAGGACATGTACTTTAATCTCTATCTAATATTTACTCAACTGCATTAATTAGCCAGCTGCTAACTTTGCCTGTCTGCTTTTTGGTGCAAGCCTTTGATGATACAGTTCTGTTTTTTGTTAAAAGTTTTTTTTTTTTTTTACATTTCAACAGATTAGATAGGGTCAATGGGTCTCTTTCACAAACTGTGCGTACGCAAAAGTCTACGCTTAAACTGTTCGTACGAACGTTTGAAACACAAATCTGGGATTCATCGATACCTTCTTACTTGAATTTGTTCTTATTCTGCTAACAAAGTTAGACACTTCCTACCAAGACCAAGAAACACTCAAATGATGGTCCAGCTTTCTCAGAAAAATGTAAACACACGCTTTTTAGTTAATGCACAACATATTAATACTACATTCAGTAAAAACGCCTTTAATAGACAACGATAATTACAACTGTGACTTTACTAATTCATTGACTAAATTTGTTAAATAACCATGTTATAGACGCCTTATCCTTATTTTACTTCAAATCTTAAATAAATTATATTATATTTCACAATGTCCTCATTAAAATATAGGAGTTTGCTGATATTTCCATGTGGGTTAATTGTTTCACAATACTCTTATTTGTTAGAGCAAATGATTGATTAGTGTCTAGTTTTTGAAATAATACTCTGAATGTGTGTCGTGTGTAACTTACACGGGTCTATCTGCTTCTTTTTTTTTTTTTTAGAACGTGATGACATCACAGGTGCTCCATAGCAATGTAGAGGCCACATACATCACCGTGGAGACGGCCTCTTTCTATGGTGTGAAGAAGGAGCCAAGCAGAGTGCTGGTGAACTCCCAGGATGCAACGTTCACTTACAGAACCAACCAGGTGAGGTCGAGGTCAAGGATGATGGGAGCTATACTGAAAACAGGAAACTCCTGACATGCTAGCAGGTCACGTTGAATCAGCTGAACTAAAATGTCGTTTTTAGATGAAGCAACCAAAGGTGATTAAGACAGAGGGGCAGACAGAGACAGAAGGGAGTTCTTTTTATGGAACTGTCATTATTTCACTGTACCATTGTAAACAAAAGTTATATACAGTACAGTGTATGAATAATGGTCTATGCCAGTGTTATTTTGTTATATTGTATTTAAGTAATTACAGTAAAAATGATGTTCACACATGTTTACAATAACACAATGTAAGCTGTACAGCTCAATCATGTTTTTAATATATTACAATTCTGAAAGAGGCTAAAGCTGTGAAATGAATATATTGCTGTAAAATACCAAAAGTATTATCTGAAAAATATTAAAGTGTAAATAAAATAACATTCAAAATGAAAGCACAGGTACAAGTAGAAAAACATCTGTGCAGTATCTAGGTTTACACTGTGTGACAGCAACGTCCTTAATGAATTCAACTAGCCAGGCAGGTTTCAGCAGAGGTGTAATATTTGATAATAGAAAATAGAATTCTAGTGTTACTTTTAATTTATTTTAAGAGCTGTAGTATAGAGAGGTGTAGTATAGATACTTATTTTGTTGTAATTGTTTTTCTCTTTTTAATTTAGTGTTGTTATAAAGAACAATGTTCTTGTTGTGATGACGTTGTATTTTGCTTCTTTCTGCAGGTGTTAACTGTTTCAGAGCTCGGTCTCAACCTCAGTCAGAACTTCACCATCAGCTGGATGTAATACGTCTGGGCTATACAATGTTGAGAAGGTGATTTTTCCACTTTGGGACATTTGAAGTTAAGAAACAATAACTGAGGTTAAAGTGTTAGTGTGATGCTATCAGTGTAGGAGGGATAGAGCTTTTTTTTAAGGGGGCTCTTTTTTTTTAATGGCATAATTGCAAAGTGTTGATTTGTTGGAGGAACTTTTATCTCATCTTGAAAATAAAATATTGTTTTTTCATCGTTCTTATCATTTTTAGTTGTAATGCGGTACTCCAGCCAGATGGTGGCTGTAGTGCATGTAAAGCTCCTCTAATAATCTTTGATTATACCTCCGATGAAAGCTTCGATTCAGCACTTTAACCTCACAGGCATTGTTACTATGGTATCTAAGGTATTAGACTACAGAGACAAAACACGCTGTCGAGGAAACAGACGGACTCTGGAGTGAGTGAGATCAGGGCTGTGGTCTCCATGTTCATAGTGTGGCATCTAAAAAAAATACACAGCCTTTCTGTATACAGAAACAACAAAATACACACTGACCTTCAGTAGACAGAACACTGCTTTAGATATTTGTGTTGTAAATGTCTTGACTGTTTATTGCTAGCTGAACTCTTACCCACCATAAAAAACCAGCGTTGCTTTTGAACTGTTTTACTTTCATTTTAAAAATCAAATCAACATTTGAAATGTTTTCATGAGCAGGGAGAAGATGTGCAATAAAATTAGATAATCTGCATTTATAGAAATAAGTAGCTTGAACACAGCTCACTATGTAATATATTTGATGTGCTTGAATGCTGATGAAAGCCTATTTTTGCACTCATTAGAACTGCAGTATTGTAAAGTATGGTACAGGTGCCTTATGATCCCTGCGTTTGTGTTTTGGAGCCTCTCTGAGTTTGTTCCAAATGATCTTTTGTTCAGCTTTTTATGTTTTTATTTGAGAAAACTCCAGCGTCGCTATGCACAGAGATTACTTTAGTATAAAACTAAAAGTGAACAAGACATGCTATGTGTGTTCTGCTATCATTTAACTGTGAATAAAGCTTCAACCTAAAGCGAGATATATTTTCCTGGAGCTGGTGTAGTGAAGTTTTGAAGATCTGTACAGATAATCCAGATTAAATTTTGACCTTGATGCTGTGAAAATCGGACTCCATTGAAAGAATTTATCTCAGATAAAAAGCTTGCACCTTCCTTTAAACTTTAAGTGTAAGAGATCATCAATGAATGTGTGCTGTAAACTAAGCCCAAACCCAACATGTATCAAGGCATGTCAAGATACTAAATGTTAGTATTTCAGTCTGTCATTATGATGTTTGATGTTTTGATTTTTGTTCAATTGCTTTCTTTAATTAAATGAATAATGTAAAAATACAGGAGTTTCTTTGTTCATTAAAATTTGTCTTGCCTTTTTTCCCCTCATATTTTTGTCCTTACTCTAGAGTCATCATAAGATTGGGGGGGGGGGCATGTAACATAATTTTCTACAAACATTAGTCATTTAATCAGATGATTCTATTTAGATGTATCTACTAAGTCTGATCTTCCTGACATAGTTATAAAATCTGAGTTGCAGGAGTATTTGAGCCACTAGAGGGCAACGTTTCTCAGCCCTGTGCTCAATGTTAGCATCATTCCTCTTTTGAACTGGTTTCCCAAAAGCCTACAAAAATATTTAAATATTTAAAAGATGTTTTGTCAGTCTGAAAATCTTGGGCATATTTCAGATTCAAATTTTAAAATGGACTTCAGATATAAATTAGAATATCAAATCATTCCCTCTGTTCCTACAACTCTAATCAAAGCATCCTTTAACACCACTGGTCAAAATGCTCTGTAACAAACAACTGCATGGCCTTTAAAATCAAATGTACCAGCTTTACTGTATAGAAGGTGCAGTAAGACTGAAAACAAATATTTTTACAGTTCGTGCATGTTAATAAAGGACATTTACAGCTATTTAATTAATTCAAATGAGTAATTTGTAAATGTTTCATGCATTTGTTCATTCAGTAGGCTAAACTACTCGATTAAGCATAGCTACAGTTGAAGACTTTGTTCAAGTTGATAGGCAATAAAAACGCTAAACACATTTGAACTGACTGCATAATGCGTGGCAAGAGATTGGATTAAAGGATTTTTAAAGAAATGTATTTACACATCTGTAGTGAATTACAACCTTTATAGAAAGAGGCTGTGTTTAAATTGTCTACTCCTGGAGCCATACACAGGGTGTAATCTTTGTGTGTTTGCTCAATTGTACTCACTCTAATCCAATATTTTACTGTTTTATGTCAAATGTAACTCATCTTCTTCATATAGTGTCCTCAGAATCAGTTGATTCTAAATGTGTTCGTCTTTCTGCTACTCTGTTGGTGTTTCCGTCCTTTATACCCTCTCCATCAGGCCTCTGCAGCTTCTTTGTGTGTTTTTGGCCTCCACTTAAAGTTCTTCTCACGTAGTTAAAAGAGTCTCAGGATGTCTGTTCTTCACATACGCAGCGTCATCTGAATTATCTTCACAATCAAGTTAAAAGATTTGTTTGTACATATGTGCTGCTCTTTCCAGAAACTAACCTCAAAACAAGCTGTGAAAGAAGCCCTGAAGCAAGACCAGAACTTTGACTGGATCTCATGAGTCATGACAGCAAACAACTAACACACACACTCACACTCACAGAGACTCAAACACATGCTCCAGGAAGTTAAAAGCAAACAACTCGTTCCATTTTCTCCTCTGATAGCGAGGGTGAGTTATCTTTCACTACTGATAGGCTCAGGAAACACATATCTTTATTGGCTCTGTGCAAACGTTTAAAAGGCTAACAGTTTCCAGATGGAAGTTTGTGGAGGGCACATTTATCATTCAGTGAGGGGGAGGAGAGAGAAAGAGAGAGAGTGCAGCGGGGGTCTGTCAAAGCATTCTGCTCTACTGACGGGGGCATTTCCTGTCTGGATTTGGATGGATTAAGTATTTGTGTGTGTGCGTGGGGGGGGGTTGTATGGTCGGCATGTGCAGAGAGTGGGACGAAGTACGGGACTTTACAGGAAATAAGCATGCAGCTCATGCATATTCATGATGAATAGAAACAGAATAGTTTTAGTGTCTGGTTTTACAAGTTTTTTGAGAGAAACACATGCTTCCGGATAGTTTTCTGCTCTTGCATTTTTGCAGTTGCTTCCTAAGACAAGTAAAGTATTTTTTTGTTTCAAGTTATGAAGGCTTAACAGAGAGCCTCACAAAACATCGAAAGCAAAATGTTTTGATGTTGGAAAATTCAATTTGTTCAGTTTGAGTTGAATTTGGTTGTTGGACAAGAGAGTCTTGGGGGCTTACAAAAAAGAAGAAGCTAAGAGCAGCTTCATTGCTTCTTTTTCTGTCTGGGTGTTTGTTGTAACATGAATGATGGCCTCAAACTGCCATACATAAAAGCAATAAAGACGCAAACCACGGCTCTTAAAAGTTTACCTTTTGGCCTCTTGGACGGCAGGGAACAAAGCTTCTAACTCTCATTATAAAGTTTCAATGGACAGTGTGTAACGTATGTGCAGATATGGACCACTGCAAGGAATAAAGTCTTACATTAACTTTTTTTGTTTTGTCTCTGTTTAAGTTTCTGCAGACTCCACAGAAAAATAACTGTCTTGAGTATATTTTAGAAGGATACTGACTTTTTGCTATGGAATTACAGAACAGTGTGTCCTTTTAATTTAAACATATATTATTTATGCAATCCATTCAAAATGCATTTAAAGATATAAATATAGGCTTTGTGTAGCTTTGCCTTAACATTGGCAATAGGTGGTAAAAGTTGTGAATTGCTGTGTTTTTAAGTTGTCTACACCTGCTCAAATATTACGCAACTGATGCCAGTCAGGCAACAACAAGAAGACTTGGACTGCCAATTATGGGAGCATTATAAACAAAACAGGAATAACGAAAACTCTCAGAGGGTATTGTTATGTGAATGATCTTTTGGTTAGTGTATGATCAGAATTAAAGATAAGTTATTGTGGATACTTATGTAGATATGAATCATAAAAAGTGGGAATATGCGCCATCAGTATACTTCGACAGGTTTGAGGGGTTTATGTGTGTATTGTCTATCCATTGCCAGACTTTCTAATGTATTTAAATGTGCAGATTTTTCAGCCAACAAACAAATGCACAGGATCAGAGACAAACATGACAATGGAGAGAGTGAAGTGGAGTGCAGATACACTACAAGCCTGTCTCCTCTGTGAGCCTACAGCTTCATGAACAGAGCATGTGCACAGGTGTCAGGTAACCCAGTGAAGAGACACCACCCATATGACAGGACAGGACAGGACAGGCTGGCTTACAAAAAACACAACCACACCTGGTTAACTGGTTAAACACTCTATCCTCTATTATCTAAAATAGCTCTAAACTATTATCCTCAAATCAGTGGCCTGTTGCATTCTCTTGTAATGGCTCAACAAAAATAGAAACAAGATGTGGCTATCTAATATGTTTGGTTAGCAAGGCAGTAGAGAAGAACACACCTTCACCTTTGTTCCTGGGTGTTTTGGGCGTGTTTTTTTCAATGGGGAATTAACTGGACATAATAGCACACAAATCACATGGTGGGGTTTCTAAAGATAACTGATTGTGGTCTACATGGTATATATCAATACTTTAACTAGTAAGACAAAGTATTCTAAAATAGTAGCTCTGTGTTTAAGACATGTTTTTTTTTGTTCAATTTCCAATGTTTTGATGTAGTTATATCATATTGTATTATATCTTTATGTTATGGTATGGTATGTGATTGTATCATATTGTATAGTGTATCTTATCTTACTGTATTGTGTTAAATTGTTTCATTTCACTGTAAATGTATGGTATGGGATTGTGTAGTATCCTTTTTAGATATTGTATTGAATCATTTCACATCATATCATATAGTATCATATGTTATCTCTTATCTTATTACATTCTCATGTATTGATGTATTGCATCTTTTCATATTGGAATGTTACATCTGCAGACCTTTCAATAGCTAGAGTTGAATCTTTTTTGATACATTGCAATTTTAACCATATTTGGCCTAAACCTAAATTAAATTATGGTCCAGTTTTGGGCCACACACACACACACACACACACACACACACACACACACACACACACACACACACACACACACACACACACACACACGGGGAAAGGGTTAAAGAAACGCGCTCTGAACTCCACCCAGGCCGCGTCATCATCGACCTTCCACAGGTGTCACAACTACTTTCCTTCCACTTTCTCATTTATGAAAACTTGATTCCTCGACAACACGAGCTCCCACAGGCTGCCCTTTGTTGGATCGAGCGTGTTCTGGCTGCTGTGGGAACTTTCACCACAGCGTCGTTGGAGGGAGGGGGGAGCTTCGGAAGCCTCCAACAGATTCACTCAAACGGAGCAGTCCGGTTCGGAGCTTCGGGATGTCGGCTGTGAAGGCTCTGCAGCAGTGGTGCCGGATCCGCTGTGAGGGATATCGGGATGTGAACATCACCAACATGACCACGTCTTTCAGGGACGGTATGGCGTTCTGCGCCCTCATCCACAAACACAGACCTGACCTAATGTAAGTAAGAAACCAGAAGACAACAGACGGGAGCTGATCTGGAAGTTTTGTAACTTGTTATCTTTATTAAACACTTCATAAGATTCCAGTCAGGCAACCACCAACATTAGGGAAGGACTCTTAGTTTTAGCATATTCCTGCTTGTAGGATCCAGCTGTATATTTTAGAAGGAAGCAACTTCAGCTGTTTGGGTTTGCAGGAAAATCAGGAACAGAAACTCAAAAGTGGACTGTGAGCGACTTATGGGACCCATATGAAACAAACTGGCCCAGCAGGCCCATTAACCTAATTGTAGTGTTGCATATAAAGTGGCTACTACAGTTTATTTTCCTCTACCATTGACCTGACAAATGTTTATGTAGCCTACATTATGCTCTTGTCTGTTAAAACTAAATGTAAAAACCTGTAGAATAGTTAACTTCATCAAAGACTTTAACTGAGACTCTGAATTGATAATAAATGTCTCACTTTGGTGATATTAAAGCCAACATGTCAACATTTGAGGGTTCCGTTTCTTAAATGGAAGAATGTCCTCCTTTTCGAAACATTGTAAACAGGAAGTTTTTGGTTTTAAACTGTAAGTTTAAACGAAGGAAGCAATTTGAAGATGTCACTTTGGGCTCTTGGGAGTTGCAATGAGCATTTTCATAACTTTAAACATTTTAAACAAGCCATTCTTCTTTTAAAAACACAAATACAAATCTGATTTATTGATAATGACAATAATGCAAAATTGCAGCTCTGTAAAGCCAATAGATCTCATTTGACCTGGTAAAACCCACATTACTAAAAGCAGGGATATTACTGATGAGCAAATGAACTCAGATAAGATATTGTCATTTCTTAATACTAATAATAATGTTGGAATTTATGGTAGACCACTGAATTTATAACAATGAAATGCTTTTCCTTTGAAAAGCATCATGATGAATATTTGTGGTCTCGTTTTAAATTCCAGGATATCAAGTAATTAAGCCTGAATGGAGCAATCAGAGTTTGTTTTCATAACAGCACAAACAAGTTGCACGTGGTACTTAATATTTACAGTCTATGGGTACTATTAAGCCTGTACACTAACAACACTTGGCTCAAGTCAAGTAAAAAAAAACACCAAACAGGACAACAACATTATAACCAGACAGATACAACAAGGGATCACAATATTACAATTTCAGTAAGAAAAAGGCCAATCACAGAGAACAAGAGTAGCCTGCTACAGTAGTTTCTCTGCCTCTAAAACAGACTGAAATTGACAAAAAAACAGCTTTGGTTTTTGTTTGAAATGACAAAATATTCCCTTGATAAATATTATATGTCGACAAGGAAGTCACAAACTTCAGCCCATAGCAATGTTTCCATAGAATTTTTTTTTTTGTTTTGTTCAGTGACTAAAGTTCTTTAATGAACAAAATATATGACCGGTATAATAGTGTCAGACTTGTAGAATTGGATAAAGGAGGAACCAGTGTGGCATTTGTTGATCAAAGTAACAGCCGTGATTGCATTTATCCACCTCTTGGACTTAAAGATTAGATTGTGTTTATACTTTGAGCTGACAATCAAAGTTGTATAAGATCTAATTCACTTCTCTCTGCGTTTAACCTCCTCTTTTGCTTGGTTCCTTCATCAAAAGTTATCAGGGGCGTAAGAAAGGTTATCTCCTTTTGTTTCTTCACAGGACATCCCTGCAGGGAAATTCCCAAAATTTTCAACATGAGAGCTGTAAAATATTATCCGACAATGTTAGGCCTTTGTTTCATTTTCCAAATGACTCACTATCTCTGGTTAAACTTTGTCCTCTTTCAGGCCTGTTTTTATTCCAGAGAGACCGTTACAGGCTTTGGTTTCATTTTCAGAAGAGACACAGTTGTTCTGTTCGTTTCCTTTTCACTTTTTACCTTCAGACCAGCATGGCTGACCATTTCATGTTTATGTTATCTGAAGCACTACATATTGGCTAAAGGCTTGCGTTTAATGGATATAAACATTTTTAAGTCTGTGATGAACGCTGGCTTCTGTATGTCTCAGCTTGATGACACACTGACGGTAGACATGCGATCTGGAACAGCACTGTGGTTTGTTGTGTTATGAACTCATCGGTCACACTGTCAGTGTCATGATGTATGTTAAAGCGAGAAGCAGCGCATGACTAAATGACACATGTTCTGTCTGCACTGCTTGTAAACAACTAAAATTATGAAGGGAAGCTGTGTCGACTGTTTTGTGATGCATTTTTTCTCTTCTGTTGCAGCAACTTCGATTCCCTGAAGAAGGAAAATGTGTATGACAACAACAAACTGGTAAGACGTGTTCTGCATTTTCACCTTTTAACGTATGTTTCCCAAATTTATACACACAGGTTTGGAGTATAGCACACCCAGATCTCTTCCAGTTAGCGAAAGTTAGTTATTATTTGTCATTAGGGGAGGCTTTGCAAAAGTTGCACCGTTCATGTTTTCACATTGCAGACAACAAGCTGGTATGGATTCGTCTCATGAAATTGTTAAAGATTTATGTCTCGGCTTTTGCCCAGTGGATGGAGTAAGAAATTGGTAGAGAGAGTAGAAAATGACAAGCTTGAAAGGTGCCGCAGGTCAGACTTGATCACTAGCCGTCCGCTTGGAGAACTATTGCTGCCATACATGAGGCGCGACCTAAGCATTAGGCCATCAGTGCCCTACATTTTTTTCTTTAAGATACTTTTTGGGGCTTTTTGACTTTATTTGAAGGGAGAGCCATGACATGTGGGGAGAGAGAGTGGGGGATGATATGCACCGAACAGCTTCCGGTCATGGATTCGATCCTGCTTCCCTTTAAAGGTCCCATATTATGCTTTTTTCTGGTTTTATATGCTCTTTAGTGTGTTTTCCAAGTGTCCTGTGCATGTTTAGGCACATCGATGTGCAAAAATTCAAAGTCCGCGGAAACGCGGCTTCTCCTACGTCCTCCTGTTAGCTGTAGCATTAGCTGCATGTAACGCTCGGTTCTAGCCCCCCTCGATAAAAATTTGTCAGTCCGGCGTCATTGTCAGTGTGAGATCACTGATCTAAGCCCATTGGCTTGTTGTGGCAAGCCCTGCAGCTCATGTTGAAATTTCCGAGACGCGTGCTGAGCAACTGACCAATAACGACAGAGTGGATCGGCAGACCAATCAGAGCAGACTTGGCCCACGTGGGGTCTAACAGTGGGGGCTCAACAGAGCGTAGCTGACGGACTCAGAGCGTAGAAGGGGAAAGGAGGAGCAGTACATGAAAACAGACACTTTTTTCAGACTTTAGCTATTGTGAACGTACAAAAGTAGGTACATGGATTAAATATACGAACCCCAAAAAGGGCAGAATATGGGCTCTTTAAATGAATCTTTTGAAGTTTTGATTACTTTTTGGTATGGATAACAAAACACTGTGTGTCTCTTTGAAGACTCAAAGACTTAAATTTGGTGGACAAACTCTTTTCATGTGTGTGGCCATTAGCTCACAATATCAACTTGTCTAATGGTTTGATTTTACATAACACATCTGCAAATCTTAGTAAGCTAACAAACTAAACTATCAGGATTATTATGTTGAATGTTATTTATGTTTGTATTATTGGTGTTGCTGAAGACTCTGGTAGCAGCATTCTGGAAGAGCTGTCTGGTGGATTTTTTTAGTCATACCAGGGGAAACAATGTTAGAACAATCTTACCAGCTAAAAGTGAAAGCATAAACAAGTTTACCTTTGTCCTCTTTAGACAGAAATCCTTTGATTCATGCCATAGTTTAAAGATGGCAATAGTCTGATTTTGTAACTGTCTTTATGTGGCTGTTTAAAATGTAGGTCTGGGTCCATGATTTCTGGCTTGATATTAGCATGCTAAAGCCAAGTGTTAGCATTGAATTAAAAGTCAGTATGGCTTTTTTTGACATAACAACAACACGTCACCTCAGCCTGACCTCTTTGCAAATACTTGAGATACTGTAAACTATTTATAATAGATGTTATTGTCTGCTATTGTTGCAGCCATGCAGTATTTCTACACGAGTATTCGCTCTGGAAACTGCTTGAGCACCACCTGATGTTACGTACCAGAGACTTCCAGAATGGTAGATGTCTGAATTAAAACAAAGCTGATAAGAGAAGTCATTGCCAAGTTCAGAGAATTCCAATCTGGCAATTTGGCGTTGGCTGCGTGGTTGCATTCTTCTCCTTTCATTTTGTCCCTTGAGCTTCAATTTTGGACTTGCTGTTCTGGGACTGACAAAAACCTAACGTCACACTTTGTTTTAAAAGGAAGATAACATTGAATCCTACTTCAGAAGTGGATGTATTCTGTCTAAAAGGGACAGTATGATTATTAAAAAACCTGTAAGAGATTGAAGTGTATCGGGTAACAGAAAAGAATACAACAGTTGTATTGCTCCCTTGATCATCTGATTACAGAGCAAGTTCTGCCTTTCCAGCTTGTTTGCCTGCCTCTGCTTGTTTGTTTTTTTCTGCTTCCTTGGAATTGCTGAATGCAGATCTAGTTTGGGAGTTCCTTTTAAAAAAAAATGTTGTACTAGGAATCAATCTGTGTTGACATTGAAGGCGTTTGAACGAAACCAAAGCAAGACATTGATGAGAGGGAACATAACTTAAATCAAAGAAAATGTGGCCCCCCATTTTTGCGCTGGTTGAAGACCAGTTGCTGCAGCATTTCGGATCATCTGCAGAAGTTTGATTGTGCATTCAGGGAGACCTGCCATCCATGAGTTGCAGGTTACTGCATGATATCACAAAAGTCTGTACCAGGATCTGTGTTGCATGCTCTGACAGGTAAGGTCTTATCTTCCTGATGTTTATTGGGCAAATCGACATGACTGAGCAAACAAGGGCAGCTAACCTTAAAAGTTAGCTGGTTCTTAATCATAACAACCAGGTCTCTGGAAAAGACTAGATCAGTGTCAAGAGGCAGAGATTCTTCAAATGTTGTACAGAAAGTCTATTTCAATCTTTGGCCACTTGTTCTAGATTTTGAGTGTCTTCTGTCTTGTTGCATAAAGTCAATGTTATTTGCAGGCATTTGAGGTTGCTGAGGTGGAATTGGGAATTCCAGCGCTGTTGGATGCAGAAGACATGGTGGCTCTTAGGGTTCCTGATCGACTCAGTATCCTGACATACGTCTCGCAGTACTATAACTACTTCCATGGACGCTCCCCGAGTGAGTATTTATGTCTTTCTGAATCCGGCTCTGCTTTAAATCCCCTTTATCTTGTCTAATTGGTGTTTCTGTTTGTTTGTCTATTTGTTGCAGTCGGTGGTTTGGGAGGTATTAAACGCCCTGCTGAAGATCCCACAGGGGAACCGTCAGGAAAGAAGAACCAGCCTGTGACATCGAAAGTGTTTCCCTCTTCAAAACCTGCAAGAGAGAACAGCCCGCCCCCCTCCTCCAACATCACACAGCCCACTCCTTCCCCAAAACAAACCCGACATACAAAACAGGTATCCGTTGCACACTGAACACAGATCATGAGAATTCCTTTGTTATATAACAAAAATGTAAGTTGTCTGGAAAGTGCTAAAAAAGGCTTTAATGAAGATAAATGTGGACATTTTGTAAAGTAAAACATCTCTTTTGTTGATTAGTTTGTATCAAACTGCCTCTACATAAAACAAAATACCCCACTTTGTCCTAATGTACTTATTTTGAGACAATGACTTTGTCATTTCCACTTCCTGTAACCTTTCCAAATCTGTCTTTCTCTATTGTAGGTTGTTCCTGTTGAGAAACCCCATCAGGCAGGCACTCTGAGTAACAAATGTGTGTTCTGTAACAAGCATGTTCACCTGGTGCAGCGACATCTAGTGGACGGGAAGCTCTATCACAGGCACTGTGCAAAGTAAGGACCCATTTAAAATAATTTAACAATAAATAATCCTTAGGATCTGTGAAGTCTAAAGTGTGCCACCAGAATGATTATCATTCTATTATATTATTTATGTTTAGTGACCATGTAGAATATTAAATGTAAATATTGGTATTTGATTAATTTTACCAGCGTTAGCTTAGAACTAATTTACAATTACAGTCCTTTGGCAGGTTAGAAATAAAACATCATAGTTATAAATATCACCAAAACTAAACTCTCTATATACATAGGAATATATGGACGGATCAAGTCTTGAATTAAAATCAGTTAATTACTGAAAGAGATAGTACTGATTTGATTCACTAGCTTTGTCACCCCCCTAACCATGATATAATACGGAAGCCCTTAGTGGACATCCATACAATTTATTTATTCATGTTCTCTGTCATAATGTGAAATTTATGGTTGTTTTCTCGAGATTTAGTGATATTTATCTTGTATCCCTGGAGTTGAAAATGCACAAAACAAACATCAACACTAGCATAACTTACCTCATTAGTGTGAGCTATGCCAGCATGTCATAGACTGGCCTATCACAATGACCAGCCTATAGTTTCATTTTCTGGGTCGCCAGAAAATCCTGTTATCTCAAGGTAAAGAGATTAATTCTTACGTTTTAATGCTATAACTAGCTTTGTTATCCTGAGATAACTAGAAAACTATGTCAAGATCCCAAGAAAACAACTGGAAATTAATCCTTATTACACAAAAGTAAATAAAATGCACACTTAGGATATCTGTTATACATTTTTTAAAGAAAAAAATAACATTTTACATAAGTTTTATTATTATTATTATTATTATTATTATTATGGTATCCTGTAGAAATTCTTTTGAAATAAATAGTGATAATTTCTGTATTTCCACACCATCACAGAACAATTAGATCTTGTTCAGACTTATCTCAGACATATTAAGAAGACATTTTAAAAAAACTGCTCTTGGCTCTAGTGACAGCCCGTTATTCTCCTTGACCTCAACAGACTGTCAAAATCTAAGCTACACACAGCCTCTGTCATTACAAAAAAAAGTTGAATATATTATTAGACATGGACAAGTTGCATTTGTGTCTTGATGGGCCCCAGCTCCAACAAATCCTTAACAAGCAACATTTATAATACATATATTAAACATTTCAACACCAAAGCACACCATTTAGCACAAGCAGAGGCCCTTGGGGTGTGCATGAGTGGAAGGCATGTGGGGTGAAAATTTCTTTTATTTTCTTCTTTTTTGATTTCTTTTCTTTTAGGGCACTGCCAACTAAAAACACAATGGCACCACTCAGAGATCTACCCACAAACACCCCTGTTTCCAAATTCGCTCCTTTACCAGACACCACACAAACCAACATGACCACTAATACACCCTCCAGACCAGGACCAGCATGGATGTCAGAGAAACCCAGCACCTCTCCTTCTTCCGCCTCAACGATCTCTACTTTCTCTCCCTCCAAAACTTCTTCCCCTGCTGAAAAAGAGAGTCAGTCCTCTTTAATAGTCTCCAAACCTTCACAAATGACTCCCATCACAACCACCTCCATCAACACAACGCCCATTCCTGCTCCTCGTATCTCAACCACGGCCGCTAAGACAATGCAAGCCAAGCTCAAGTTCTATCAGTCGGATAACACCGCTAAAGAGGAAGAAAAAAAGACTACAACCACAGACATTGACTTAAAAAAACAGCTGAATGGGACTGATAAAGTTAACACAACTAGTGACAAAGAAAAAAAGTCAACAACCACATACACTGACTTTAAAAAATACCTGAAAATGACTAATAAAGTTAACGCAACTATTGACAAGGAAAAAAAGTCTACAACCACAAACACTGACTATAAAAAACATCTGAATGTGTCTGATAAAGTTAACACTACTATCGAAAAAGAAAAAAAGACTACAACCCCAAGCATTGACTTAAAAAAACACTTTAATGAGACTGATAAAGTTCACAAAACTAAGGACAAAGAAAAAAAGACTGCGATCACAAACACTGACTTTCAAAAACATCTGAATATCACTGATAAAGTTATCACCACTAACGATGAAGAAAAAAAGACTACAACCATAAACATTGACATAAAAAAAGACCAACATTTTGCTGATAAGAACCAGGAGGCCTCAGTGGGACAGGCTGTGACTGTGGTTGTAAATTGTGGTGGCAAAAAAGGAGAAAATGTAAGCTTGAACACAGTCGGAGAAAAGACGAAAACAGCAACTGCAGGTGGAGATTCAGGAATGGTGAGTGAGAGCAGTAAGGCGAAAGCTTCAGCAGCTGCCTTCATCTCCAAAACACTGACAGAGGAGAGCAACAATAACAACAGTAAACCATCATGGACGAATGTAGTGCTAAAGAAAACTGAAAAGTAAGTAATATAAGCGCTCAACACTAGATGTCTTATTTTAGCCTGACCCCTACTGGTTAATAATGGCATTTTATAACCTGTTGTCAGACCTTCTCAAGTGGAGACTCCAAAGAAGGAGAAGGAGGGAGACAGAGGGAGGGTGAGGCTGAGGCTGAGAGCAGATCCATCAATCCTGGCTGATCTACAGACTCCAGAGACCCCAAACTCTGCTCCGACCCTAGCAGGAACAAGTGGACTTGGAGCCAGAACTCCAGACCCAAGCGGCTCAAAGTCTAACAGCGTTTCACCAAACAGATCAGGTTAAATCTTTGAAAACTGTTTATTAAAAAGTGTAGCCTCATATATACATGTTTTAATGACATAAGCAAGGAGTGGTCATTTGTTTATGTTAAAAACACTAAAGAAAACTACTAATTGGTGTTTGGTATATATTGTACAAAAATGCTGGTGAATTATTTGGAGAATATAAACCACAACCTGTCAAGAATTTGACAATAGTATATAGATGGACCTTTAATTGTAATTACAATGCACAAATACAGAACAATTAAACTAGATGGCTGTCCTAATTGGTGCTAAAGCATGAAAAATAAAATAAATGTATACAAATGAATTAATTTACTAAACTACAAATAAAAGTGATAATAACGTTTCTTTTAAATTATTTTTTATCAGCAGCATCAGAAAACAAAGATACTCCAGCGGACTGGCGGTCCAAGCTCAAACCCGTCTCTAAAGAAACAAAGTAAGACTTGTTTAAATGCCTTCAACTTGTTTTTTTTTTTGTTACCTTATTCAAAGATTATGGTTAATTACTTTCCATTACCGTCTCTATTCCTAATGTCCTACTTCCAGCAGGGATTTTTTGTACATTGGTGTGCTCACAGCACATCAACATCATCAAGCGTTAAATGTAAAAACACCTTTTTCCTCCCAATGTCCTGTCCATCCATCCATCTCTTGATCCAGTCTTTCATCCATCTATCCAACCATTCTTCCCACAGGAAGCCTGTACCTGCTGCTCCTCCAAATGTCTCAGCCATCATTCGTAGTCAGAGCTTTTGGTCCCTTCCCTTCCGCCACATGCATGTGATCTCCAAATGGTGTCAAGACGCAGTAGAGTCCTCTGTAGTGCAACATATGCTCAGTGCTCACAGTCTCTTCCCCCAGATGACCTTTCCTCCCGATCTCATGAATCAAAATTAAGGACTGCAGCAAGACAGGAAAGGGACTACCTGTATGAGCTGACACACAGCCATTTATTAACTCCTGCCTCTCTTTTTCTTTTTCTCATCCTCAATCCAACCACAGACAGACTGGCCCTCCACAGTCCACGCCTAAACCATCGACTAATGGAGGTGCAAAGTCACAGACTTCAGGGCTTTCAGTTGGGCCTTCACCATCCACTCATCTCTCCGACCCAAGCATTTCTGTCACTCCACCAGCATCAAAGGGTAACATGGTCTCCTGTGGTGTTATAATATTCTGTTTGATTGCAGTTTTGACTAAAAATGAACTACACATAATCATCTTACTTCTAAATCTCCTTTTATTATAGACTACATAAATGAATGATAAACAATTATTTTTCCTAATGATTTCTTTATTAGTCCTTTTGTCTTTGGGCCAAATTCTCTTCATTTCTATATTTTAATTTTCTCTCTTTATTTTTCAGAATTCCTGAATGGTCAGAAAGGTCTCACTACAAATGGCTCCAAGTCGGAGTCAAAGATTATCAAGGTGATAAGGATTTGGTAGAAGATTAGCTTTAGTTAATAACACATCGATTTTGATTATTTTTATTCAGTAAATATTTATTAAATGACATATTGATTGACACGTATTTTTCTGCATAGCCTACTGCAGTACAGTAGCTTCATAGTTGTAAATCTTTAGCTTTAAAGCTAACGCTGAAAAAAAATAGCATGCTAACACTGGTTAGATGAAATATGTCCAACACAAAACAAATAAACAAACAAAGAACCTTAACTAGCCATTTAAATATAGAGAGATATATTGAGTTACATCTAAGTTATATTTATTTGATCCACTGAATAGCGGGGAAGGTCAGCTGACGTCAAGCTGGTTCAAAGATTTTCAAGGAATTGCTTCCTACAGGAACATTAGCTTTAGCTTAGGTCCTTAAAATATTTATATTTAAGTTTTTTGTTCAGTTACCAATATGCACAACCGTTTCTCATCCATACTGCTGTATAGCGTAGCTAGCTAACCTTAGAAGTGATCAAATGTTTGCCAAATAAAAAAATGAGTAGGTTATTATTTAAGTAGACCTCTGAAAAATATATCGGTTAATGTGTTTAGTTAAAAAAATAAACTTGGGGTTCAGATAGGGAGCCTGTTATAATTTTAATCTGCAATAAACTAAAGCTTTTTTAATTGTTGTAATTTTCATACTTTACACCAAGGTTATATTTAGTTTTTTAATCAGTGTGTGCCTCAAATGTACTCTTAAGGCTGAGATAACTGAATTGCACCTTTATTTAGCCTATGTTTTGGCATCTTCCTAATAACTCTTCTTTTTGTGTGCATTTTATCTGCAGTCAAAGCCAGACTACATTCAGAAAGAGGACATAATAAAGGAACTGAATGAGATTGAGGATAACTTGAACGAGTTGGAGGAGAGGGGAGTGGAGCTTGAATTGAAGCTTCGCAGCAGTGAGGAGGGTGAGATTGTTAACACACATGTACCGTATTAGCCTCCTCTTCAACAAAAAGAGGCAGATTGACAGGAAGTAGAGGAAATGGGATTAACTGTGTGTGGATCAACTGTGTGTTTCTCAGAGGGTGAAGATGACTCTCTCATGGATGAAGTCATGGTCGAGTGGTTCAACTTGATCAGGAACAAGCAGGTGGCCATACGTCGGGAGTCTGAACTAGTCTACATGTGAGTACACACACAGAGACACAGACTTAAAAAATGGCAAGGCCACTATTTAGCGATTAGTGAAACAGACTTGTAGCCAGAAGGTTGACAGTTTGAATTCCCAGTGTCCTGCCTCCTCCAGCCCACAGCAGGGCGTCCTGGAAAGATGACAGTTCACCCCCACTGGTTTCAGTGGACTGAAAGTGTGAAGCAGGATGCTGCTTAACAGCACACATATGGTGTTTTCACACATGCACAAAACTCCTGACAGTTCTTGAAATTTTCAGGGTGAGATGCATGTGTAAACAACAACGGCCAATATTTTTTCACCCCTACTTTGCCTGGACTTTTTCCTGCCAGCCCCCTGTGTGAAGATGAGTAAGCCGATGTAAGAGCCCAGCATGTTATTTTATTTTCACCATGAGCGGGGGTGATGTTTTTCAATTCAGTTAAATTAAATTTGAATACCTTTTATTTAGTTCAGTCGTATAAAAAGCATCAGTGTGCACACAGTTTGCATGAATGACAGCACAACAAAAAAACAAGAAACAAACACACATATACATTCACATATCAACATCCATAGATTATATTGCACAACCAGTGAAGGACAGTTCGATCTTCATGCTGTAGTATAGCTAAATGGTAAATGGACTGCTCACACTTAGCCATTCACATCCATTCACACACTGATAGCAGAGGCTGCTTTGTAAAGTGACCACCAGAAGTATACACATACAATACACATAGATATGCTGCCGCCCGAGAAGCAGGAGCAACTTGGGGATGAGTGCCTTGCCCAAACACACATCAGACATGTGGCTGCAAGAGCTGGGGATCAAATCCCCGACCTTCCAGTTGAGAGACTACCAACTGACCCACGACCACCCACTGCCTGCTCAATAATCTTTTCTGCTGCCATTTTGTTCTTTGTTGATACTGTGAATACCTCTAATAATGTCAGATTCAGTTTGTTAGTTAGTCTTAGTTAGTTTGGTCAACAAGTTTTTGTTTCATCAGCACTTTTAAAGTATTTGTGCTGCTCCCAAGAGGCCAAAACCTCAGCAGAAAGCAGGGCTTAAATCTTGTCTTAAATTCATTATTTTGCTGTTATACCACCTGCAGTACAAATGTGTCTAAGGAGGCAGAGTGGGTTACTCTTCTATCTTAAGCGTTGGTGGTCTGATCCCCAATGCAACAAACAAAACCTTATCAGACCAAGAGTTCATTTGAAAAATTAGATAAACGCCATTCTGGAAAACAGTGCCCTGAGAGTTTTGATTAGCACTTAAAAAGAGAAAAACCCAATACATTCTATGGGGAACTGGGTCAAAGCCACACAACTTAATTCTGAGTTATATTACCTGAAATAAATAAATCAAGTTTTTATGAAATTTTTAAAAACAGAGTTATCTGCTTTTGCGAATGAGCTCTTAATAGGTGTTGTATGGCTGCAGACATCTCTAATGTTTCAGATCAATTAAAATTCTAATTTTAAGATTTGAATGTTGTGATTTCAGTGGAAAAACCCAGGACCTGGAGGAACAGCAGCCCAGTGTTGAACAGGAGCTCAGGAGACTGATGGAGAAACCAGGTGAGGGTTACGTGGGAAAAAATCTACACAATGAAAAAGATTAAACAACTAAGACTAAATTGTGCTTGTGTTTAATCAGAACGACTAAAAACAGTATTGGACAAGAAGAGAGAAGAGGAGCTCATGGCCAAACTGATGGAGATCGTCAATGACAGAAACGCTATTGTCGAGGGTCTGGATGACGACAGACTCAGGTGTGTGTAAAACTCTCATTTTTAGCCCCATATCAGTGAATCTGAACTTTTTATTGTAGCATATAAAAAAGACATTAAAGACCTTAAATGGAAGACAGTCTATAGTTTATTTAATAAAATACTTTTTTAAACACAGAACCCCTCTGTTAGGAAAGAAGCCTAAACCTATAAACATCATCACATTGCCATTTCCCTCTCTGCTGATTTTCCTGAATATTTCCTTCTGACTTCACAAATCAGCTCACCCAACTTTGTGGGAAAATGTACAAGGTGGCTGACAGGAAAAGTCCAGATGAACTCTTGTGAAAAGAGCACAAGAGGTATACAAGTGTTGTGTGTTTGGAAACATGAGACTTCATCAGTTCACAGCACTTACACTACAAAAAAAGCAACTATGCCTTATTTCAAATCCAATTGATCGAGTACAAAGCTGCAAATAAATATTTCCCTGCCTTCATGCTTTGAGTCTTACAGATCTATCAATCTTATTTTAATCTTCCTTTAAATAATACTAATTCATAACAAATCTTATCTCGAGTACACTTTACAAAGAGCAGGTCTAGACCGGACTCTTTGTTATATTATTTGCAAAGGCTGAAATTTAATCCACCATGAGCTCAGCTCTAAGCATCATTTAACAAAATAACAGTGGGAAGGAAATGCCAGTGTATAAATCAACACGGTGTATGTGCTTATATCTGTAAGAATGTCTGTTAATCTGTTGCATTGTTGCTTTATTTCCTCAGGGAGGAAGAGGAGGACGAAGAGCTTGACAAGATGATGAGGAATTTCAGTGAGTGCCCCCCCCCCCCAGCCAACACACAAACTGACACACATACACATCAGACATTAGGTATCACAACCCCAGTGTCATTGCAACTTAGTTGTCTCATAAATTATGCAATTCCATCATTTACGCCTCTAATTGAAGTAGATGTGTGTGTATGTTTAAGGGTACCACTGTGAAATGTTTTTATTTTAGTTGATCTAATGACTGCTAATGGAAAAAGCATCAACCTCCCCCCCCTTCCTTTTTTTTTGTCAGTGGTGTTTTATTTTTAAATAAATGGATAATGTAGCTGGTTAATTTGACCCTTTGATAGAGGAGAGTTAAAGCCAGCTTCATTTGCAATTCATGACTAAAAAGGCAGGGCTGATATTGAGGAGATTTATTGAACTTCAGTGAAAGGTTGTTATGCTACCGCGAGTGAATGCAGACCGTGGGCTAAAGACTGGCCATTTCAATTTAATGTATTCATAAAGTTAATGCCAAAGTTTCAAAAGTTCATTACAACTCTGAGTACAGTCATGTGTTAGTTTACACTAATGTCAAATCACAAGATACATTTAAGTTACTACAAAAGCCACAGGAAATACCTCGTCTTGATTGGCTGCCAGGTGTTTGTAAAGTCTGCTTACAGGACACCTTAAACAAAGCTCCTACAGCCAACACTTACTATCTCTTTTTTTTTAAATACTTTTTATTTGATAGTTTTGAAGAAAAATAACAAACTATCAGAATGAGCGTAGATCTACATATAAGTGCATCATCTATACAGGCATGGATAAATATTTCTGTTAGCTCATTCTACGACAGAAGAGAAGAGTGAGCAAAAAAGAAGGAAAAAGTAAAAATAAAAGAATAAAATAGAAAAAGAGCTTTAAGAACAACAGAGCTTATTAACTTATCAAAAAGAATAAATGAAAAAACAAAACAATAAAAAAGTGAGCCTTGGATTGTTCTACTCTAATAGAATTTAATATATATTTTTGTTTATGTGTTCTTCACCATCTGCTTGTGGCTTAAGTTCAATGCTCAAGTATACGCAAAAACTTCGCTCTTTGTTTCGCCCCTATATTAAATCTGTGTCTGTTAACATCTTCCATCGTGACTCAAAGACGTCACCTAGATTCCATAACCTATGTGTAATTCTCTCCATATTATAAACGTCCTTAATTGTTTCTTTCCATTTAATTATTTGTGGTGGGGTTGGTTTAAGCCAGTTTTTAGTTATCTGTTTGATCGCCATTATTTTTAAAATTCTATAGAGGTATTTATCTGAGTTGAGGGACAGAGCATGGGGGGGAGCTCCCAAAAGTAGATCTTGTGGAACGAGGAAGAGGTTACATTTAAAAATCTTGTTTATTTCCTCTTTCACTGAGACCAGTATTGTTCTAAAACTGGGCATGAGTAGAATATGTGAGTGTGGTTAGCTTTGCTTTCTCCACAGTTGTGCCAGCAGCTTGATGTGACGCTATGGCTATATTTTGATTGGATGATAGGTGTTTTGAAGTATCTAATTTGAAGTTTCCAGGAGAACTCCCTCTAAAATAAGGAGCTTGCTGTTTTCCAAGTGTTACTACAAATATTTTTACCATTCATCATCCAATATGTTTACATGTAATTCGTTTTCCCAATTAGTCAGTGCCTTAAGTCTAAGCACATCTCCCTCCCCTTCTGTAATTCTATAGTTTCCTAATACCTTCTTAGAGTTTTGTTTGTTATACGTGTTGGCTATATTTGTTACTAAGGGGTGTATGTCATTTAGAGTCTTATTGCCCATTATTTTTGTTAAGTAGCTTCTTATTTGGAGGTATTTAAAAAAAATGAGAATTTGGCAGATTGAAACTTTTTGAGAGATTCTCAAAGGTATCCACCCCCTTATTTTCAATGAACTGGATAAATCTGGTCAGCCCTTTTTCAGCCCATAATTTAAATGTATCATCTATTGTATTTGGTTTGAAGTCTCTATCGCTTGCAATTTCTCTCAAGTACACCAGGTCTTTTTGGAGTTGTTTTATTCGTGTAACTTTTACCCAGGCTCTGAAAGTACTGCTAATGCAGGTGCTATCTATTCTATCGGCGGTAAAATTAGTTACTTTAGTAAATATGCATTCATTTAACGTTTTCTCCATTTGTGATATTTAGAGAGGTTTGGTAGGGCTAGTCCTCCAGATGTTTTTCTTTTTTTTAGTGTCTTAAATTTAATTCGAGCTTTTTTCCCTCCCCAAACAAAGGTATTCAACAGTTTGTCCCATTTATTAAAGTTAGTCTGAGGAATGCATGCTGGTAGGTTTTGAAATAAAAACATGAATCTTGGCAAGATGTTAATTTTTATTGTTTCAACTCTTCCTGTTATAGATAGTGGTATGGTTGACCATCTCTTTAAGTCCTGTTTAAGGTTGTTTTCCAGTTTGCCATAGTTGTATTCTTGTAATTTACTGAGGTCTTTGGGGATGAACACCCCTAAGTATTTAATTTTGCTTTGTTCCCATTTAAATTGATATTTCAGTTGAGTATCTTGATCTATTCGTTGGCCAATTACCATTGCCTCTGATTTATTTGTGTTTAGTTTATATCCAGAAATGCCGCTGTATTGCTTTATTTCATCCATCACTGCAGTAAGAGACTGGGTTATATTTGTTACATACAGAATTACGTCGTCCGCATACATTGCCATTTTGTGTTCTTCCTGTCCAATATGTATTCCTTGTATATTGTTATTATTCCTCATTTTTTCTGCTAAAGGTTCCATAGCTAGTATAAAGATCAACGGGGAGAGGGGATCCCCCTGCCGTGTACCTCTTAAGAGTTCAAAGGATCTCGACAGGGTGCCATTTACTCTAATCCTCGCATTTGATGTATTGTACATCATTTGTAGCCAACCAAGACATTTTCCATTGAAGTTAAATTTTTTACATGTTTCAAATATATAAGGCCACCGTACCCTATCAAAAGCCTTTTCCGCATCGAGTGTCAACATGAGTAATTGCTGTTTTTTTTTCTGAGAGTGTTCAATTATGTTTAGAGTCTTTCTAACGTTGTCACTCGTGTCTATTTGGAACAAAGCCAGTCTGGTCTAAATTTATAATATTAGGGATTATTTTCATCAACCTGTTTGCTAAAATAGCTGTCAGCAGTTTTTGGTCAACGTTCAGCAACAAAATTGGTCGATATGACGCACAGTCTGTTGGGTCTTTGCCCTCTTTGTGTATTACTGTAATTATTGCTGAGTTCCATGTGGGAGCATATTCGTTAGTATCGAGGGCCCAGTTGTATACTTTACATAAATATGGTATTAATTCTTGTTGAAATTCCTGATAAAATTCATTTGTGAAGCCGTCACTACCTGGGCATTTCTCATTTTTAGTTTTTCGTATAGTTTCTTCTAGTTCCTTCTCTGTTATTGGTTTTATCAGCTCTGTGTTTTCTTTTTTTAGTTACCTGGGGTAAGCAACACTTACTATCTCAGTTCAATGTGTACATTACACTCCAAGTAACCATGGCAATGCTCCTGCTTTTTGAACTACCACAGTTAAAACAGAAATGGCTACCAAGGTACACTGACTGAAAACCTCATTTTACACAGCTTTTTCATTGCTTTTAATAAACGGAAGTGGTCAAATAAGGCTAATCCGAGCATGACTGCACCAATATAAATCGCATGTTTCAGATGGAATGGGCATTGGCATTTGTTAAGAGTTTTGTTTTTGGCCATCAGATAAGCAGTAGTCAAATATTCATATACACTCTAAATATCACTCTAAAACATGTTTAAAGTGGAATTCATGGATAGAAGCCAAGATTCTTAGAGATCGTCAAATCACTTCTATGTAAGAGCAAATCCTGATTTACCTTTCTTTCTGTTTAAGTATATACTGACCATGAAAAAGCAAAAACTGGTTTGGGTTTCTTTCTTGAACTTGACTAAAGTGCTGATCACTTCCACTAGTGGCTAGAAGATGTAGTGAATGTAGTGTAATTGTATATCACTTATCAAAAGCAATGTTAAAAAGTGCTTCACAAAACATACAAGTCAATGATAAATAACAGTTTAGAAATTAAACATGAAAACGAACCAAATAAAAGAGGAGGAACTAAAAACAAACAACCCAGAGGTTTAATAAGCTTGTATTGCTGGTTAAGCTTTACATGTAGCCTCTAGACTTAGTCTTCTTTTTTAAAGTAGTGGAAAAGAAAAGGACACCCTGTCTGCACATACACCATTGATATGTTCAGGCTCCATCAGTTAACCCTCCAACAAGAGATTAACCGGTTGTGTAAATCAGGGCTGATACTGATGCTTAAAATTATATGTTGCCATTAGTCAGTTCTGATACAGATGTCTTTTCATTACTTAATTATAATTGCTTTTTTTTTTTTTTCAATTGAGCCTTGAGATTGGAAGTATTTAAATTGTTGTTAGTGGTCCCTCATCCTGAAATGTCGCCGGAACATGACTTACAATCTGTATGTCGCTGATCTTTCTCAGAGATGGTTTTAGACTTCCAATATGCTGACATTTTTTTTCTCCCTTGGATCATAAAAACAAGTTAGAATTTGACCAACACATGATTTTTTTTTAACCTATTAAATATCTTTTCTGAATCAGTATTTAAATATACCACCATGCCAGTATAAAATTGATGCAACAAAATAGATAATCTTTGGCTACTGATAGCAGTGCATGCCAAATTATTTTCCTGTAATCCGCAGATACCGATGTTCAACCCATACATCATTGCAACCTTCAAGATTATTATAGATACTAATTCTGGCACATTTTTTTTACCCCAAATCAGAATTAAGTAAGAAAATAAATCTTGATAAGTGGTTAGACAGCTGCAAAAAGCTACCAGTACAAGCAGTTCTCATCTAATGCCTGATTAACACAAACTTTCAAAGTTGGTTTGTGCTATAGAAGATTTTAAATATGTTGTTTTAAATCATTTTAGATCATTCATATTTTAAAGCTTGTTGAAGTTTTTGATTAAGAATTCAAGGAATTGCAACAACTGATCTGACCTGTCATGTTAATCTTTCTCTGTCTGTCTGTCTCTCTCTCAGGTGTAAAGAAAGACAAACCGAAGAAGAAATCTCCGATGTCCAAACTGTTCGGCTGGGGAAACAAGAAGGAGGGATAATGCTCTAAACACAGGGCTGCTACTGTATACTTTGATGTTTTTTTTGCTCTAGTTGTAGTCTTAATGTCAGCATACTAAGGCTGTGATTCAGGGGATAACATAGAGAGAGAGAGAGAGAGAGAGAGAGTGTGTTCTGTCATTTTAAGTGCTTATAGAAGAATGCCCTTCCCTCTGTCGAGTGCATCAATCAAGATCTGACGTTCCTCCTGCCTGCCAGTGCTACACACACCCAAACACAGATGATGTTGAGGGGTTAATGACTCACCAGCAGTGATGTGATTGGGTTCAGTGCTCCAGTTGTTAGCTTTAATACCCTTCTAGTCTTAATCTGTCTACTTAACGCTGTCAAACACGAAACACACACACAGACACTCACATTTCTTCTCCTTATATATACTCCAGATGCTAATATGAGTTAAAGAACAGAGGTCAGGCAGCTGCTTACATATCTCCAGCGACTTTCTGTCTGACCCTGTTGTTGTAAATACCATGTTGAACTGCATTTCTCTTTATTTCAAAGGTCTTCCTCTGTGTCACGTTGAGAACAAAACACATTTTTATTGGACGACAGCAAGTTTACTAGGACAGTTATTGATAAGGTGAAATTTTTTCTTCATAACCTTTCGATATATAAGAGCAATTTTCGGACAAAAGGTTTTACTGTAGCCTATATTTGGGGGTTTAGGAGTTGTAAGAGGGTTTACAGGAAAACAATTGGCAGAGAACCATTATTTTGTTGCAAGAAATAATTATAACATTTTCTTTTAATATCAGGCCTAAAAGAGCCGGAGACCTCAGATGTCAGGCCATGCCTGTTTATATGATATTAAACAGACATGGCCTTATTTTAATGGGGTTTAATCCAAAAAGGGCAGAATGCACTTGTGTGCCTGCAATCTGATTGAAGTTATACTTACTGAACATTCATTCAGAGCTTTCAGCTGCATGTAAAGGTATAAAGAGTGACAAGAGTCTTTGAAAAACTCCAAATTATCACTACGAGTTCTTTAAACTCAGATTATCTTCACTGTATACTACTTTATAAATTTTTTAAAAATCAAAATAACACTCTTTTGGCTTAATGTGTTTTAATGCTCAAATGTCTTTTTGTTTTTCCTTTTTCACTTTGAGTCATGTTTGACTGCAGTTGAACGGCTGTGTGTTTAATCAAGTTCTAAATGTGGTTTGTGAAGTACGGGCTTTAAACTAGTAGAATGACTGGACTGGGTGTTCGTTAGTCATAGAAAATCTAACCCTGGTCCATATTGGATCTGAATTTGTACATCATTTAAATATTTTTCAGCTAAATGAATAAATCGACTCTTTATTTTCCCGTTGGAAGTGGTTTTTTGAAGAGGTACCAAAGCAAACTTTGTTTTCTGTATTGCGACCGAACCACTCGCCTAGTGGTTTGGTCACTTTGTATTTTATTGTTCTTTTCACATTATTCCCCAATAATCAGCTGTACCTTTTTGTATAAATTGTATTATTAATGGAGAAACATGTCTGGATTTTAACTAAATTAAAAATATGAAAATATGAATTGATCATGTTGCTTCATCCTAATAGTAAATACATTTTAAAGAATGTGTTGATACTAAACATTTTTATTCCATTCATTGTCACAGCCAGTAGCTCTTGTGTTAAGTCTTACTCTTTATTGACACTGTTTTATTTTGATCATATTTTGCACACACAAGATGAATGTTTTTTTTTTCTTTAAAACATCTAAACTCCAGCAGAGAGGATGCACTTTCTCCTTTCAAACACCAGGAGGCAGTATGAGACTTTCTAGTTCACTGCAGCTCACAGCTCAGGGTCTTTTGTCAGCAGAGCTGATTCATCTCTTTAAGGTTAAACCCAGACATAGAGACGGATATGGAAATTTAGCATTTTATGGTTTTTATAGGCAAAAGTTAACATTTTAGCTGCAGGAGGTTTTGTCATTATTCTTACAATTACAGAAAGGCTTTGCAAGCCTTTATATTGCATCATCTCTTGTCAGACACAAGTGTGACAATAAAAACAGAAATAAAACCCATAAAGTGAATAATAGTCATAGTTGCATAAATGTGTAACTGTCCTTTTGTTTCACCAATGTTTGAACTGCTGCAGAGGCTGCTTCTTGTTCCACACTAAAGATACATCAAACTCTTTATAAACCGAGAGACACTGAGTGAACCGATGAGCAAACTTCAAGACCAGTTTAAACAAACATTGAGTAAAACGGTTTCAGTACAAGTGAGGACAGAACATTTTGTTAATAAAGCTCAAAAATACACTTCAGAGAGGCCTCACAATGTGTAAAACATACAAGTGCTGTTCGTTGGTACATTCTTTTTGTTGGTAAAAAATAAATAATTTCATAATTCTGCAAAAGGATGTGGAACCATCGTATGTATCACCAGTATAAAAAGGGCATAAAGAGAAAAAGTACAAACAAAAGCCAGGTCTTATAGTACTTTTTTTTCTCCACCTTTTATTATTTTTTGAAAGGTATGTGTAATCTGCTTTTCACATGAATTCCTAGTCACCCTTTTACATTGAATGGGCATACCTCTAATCTCACAATCTGCCCACTCAAACACTACATGTATTTACAACAAGTATCAAAATATGGCAGTGCTGAGGTCAAATTGAAACTATTTCCATACTAAAAATTTGGTCTTTTACTCGTTATTTGTGAGTCCAATTGTTCAATGTTTGATGGGATCTTCCATTCAAATAACTCATGACAGTATTGCTGATTGGTCATGAAGAGGTCAACAACATTTATTATTTTATTTATATTTCTCATTGCAAAGAATAACAACATGATGTTATGTTTATCTTCTTTTTTCAAACCTTTTTTAAACCTCAAAATATTCAAATAGAAGTTCACTGGTACATTTTGAGTGTGCACTTGTGTACTATCATTGAGATTTTTAACCAAAAAGACAGTGTGGGAAAGCTGAAATAACAGCTCTATACAGGTTATCTGCTGCGACAAATATACAGAGGGTCATACAGACACCCATGCACACGAAAACACAAGAACAATCTCTCACTGCTACTGTTAAATTATCCATTTACAAAAGCAAAGAGAAGCAGAGACAAGTAATACAATAAAAGAAGAGAAAAGCCAGGAAATTGACTTTTAGCTTAGAGTTGTTGTTTCCTTTGTATCTTTTGGTGTAAAAATACAAAACGGTGTAATCTTTTCTTCTCCAAAGGCAACATCTGTTCCTGTTGTTATGTGTGAAAGTGTTTGTTGACTCCTTTCTTAAACCATGATAAAATGTTCCATCACCGCGCCGCTATGTGTCTGAATCAATCAGACATAGCGTCTCCGCTTAACTTTGGAATGTGTTTATCTTCAGGGTAAGAAGGGCCTTAAGGTTGACTCAAAACGGTACATTTATAACATTGGTTTTTGGTACAGACAGTAAATATACCTTTGAGGTGGCTCATCTACATAACACAGAGGGCCTCACATTCTCTTCAGACTTTTAAACATTTTCAGGTGAAGCTCCACTCTGCTCTGACTCGATGTAATAAAGCTTTTTCACAGCTTGTATCTCTTCAATCTGTGTCAAAATAGTATAAACTCAACATTTACATAAGCTCCTCCTGTTTGTGTTGTTGTTTTAAACAACTTTATGTTCTTATTCCTCACTAGTTTATGATCTAAGAGGAAGCTGTATACATAATTCCACACTCTTCATACTTTCTTGCTGTTTCCTTTCATCCCTTTAAAAGTGTATAATTTGGTCATCCAACAAAACCCTTGCTTATTTTATTATTTTGTAAAGATAATTCAACTACTTTTTTATTTAAAACTGTTACTGCCTGAAATTTGTGTTCTTCCTAATATGGCATTACAACTGAATAGCTTTAATTTTTTGAGGTCCCTTAAACCTTTAATAGGTGTTGGCAGGTGGATTATTTAGACATTCAGCAGACAAGGAAAAACAAAAACAATCAATTTGAGATGTCCATCTGGCACATTTATGTATTAGTAATACTTATTCTTTTTTCTATTTCCGTTGTAAACTTTTTCTCCCCTTTATTGCATTATTGTTTTACCTAACACACACTCCATTTACTAAGTGACAAGTCAAAGTCAAGGTCATCTTTATTGTCAATTTTACCATACGTACTGCACATTCAGAAAAATCAGAAAAGAGTTTCTCTCCAAACCACGATGCAAGCTAAAGTATAAAGAGTATAGTTATATTAACAACTTGACCAGCCTGCACAATACCCATGTGATGGTGTAAAATATTTTTGCATGCAGGAGTGGGCTGATGTTTGTGCAGTTTGAGCCGTCAGGATCTTTTAAAACACTGACACAACAGAACAAGATCAAACTGCTGATCTGACATTTTGTTGTTGTTGAATTCTCTTGTTGGAGCCTCCTTCCCTGTGTTTTGACAAAGAACACTGTGTGATGACAGCACTGGAAAAGCGATCACAGCCCAGGGGAAACCCTCAAAAACCTCTGGATGTCGCCCGTGGAAACCCTTTGCATGTGGTCTCTTCTTGCACAAACACACACACACACACACACACACGCACACACACGTATAGTGAGGCATACACACCTTAGTGGTGGTGACAGGCGGGAAAATCATCTTGGGATGTTGGTTCAGGTCTCCCTCTTTGTATTTCTCTAAGTGTCTGTGACAAGGCAGGGTAATGATCTCTATGTGTTTGTGCGGGTGTGTGAGTAATGTGCGCAGACAGATTAAGCTCCTCCACGGATGGCTACTTGTGTTTCTCTGAATGAGTAATGTTTAAGACAGAGAGGATATGCGGTCGATGAATCACCACCATCATCTATCAGAGTTAACATTAACACACATCAGACCAACACTTTAGAAGGATTAGATATTGTTCTATCATATGTACTTTAGAACTTAGAAATGGAGTGAAAAGTCTTTAGTTTCCCTCATTTGGGGATTTCATGTTCATATTTATTCAATAAAAAAAAAAATATACTGACTGAATGGTGTATCAAACCTAAGGGCCAGGTAAGAAAATCACATTTTTAATACCGAGCAAGCACTTTTTTAAAATCTAAAAAATCAAAAGAAAAATCAGAAGAAATATAAAACAGACGTGCTGGATTGTAACAGCAGTGTACAAATGGGTGCCAGTGTTACAATTTTTTGGGTGAGCACATTATAAATATCTGAAAAATACAACGCTGTGAACCTTTTGAATATTGTTCATCCTAAATTAAATGTGTGAATGGACACGGACACAACACCAGTAATGCAGACACAAAAGCTTGAAATCAGAATTGCCATGAAAACTACTGAAATGAAAATAATCAAACACATAAAATGACTTTCCCTGTCTTGTGTTTGTTGAGCAATGAAGCCAATACGGAGCTTCAAAAAAACTGCAGTTTCTCAAGGGTCCACTTGAGGCTGGCTACCAAAACGAATAAATCCAAATTAGGTCCTTTATCTAAACAGTTTCAGCAGAAATTAACGTGTTTATAACGTAGCAAAAAAATGTTTTTTTCTTTTCTATGGTTCATTTATTTATTAGTTGAAGCTGGTTGGGGTTCGATATTTTTATAACTTTTAATTATAATTATATAATTATATAATTTTTATTATATTATGGCCAAGAGTTAAGCATAATAAGAAAAATAAGGGATTTTGACTGGCATGGGGCACATGGTAGCTGTTTGCCAGGAGGCTAGCTTCACTTTTAACTAAATCCTATTTAACTGTCAGCTTTGTGTGTGATGTATGCAATATGCTAGCTAGATGACGAACTAGCTATAGAAAGCCCAGATGGGCGCGTTTTAGGCAACCAAGGTATTAATTTCCACATAACTTTTTTTTTTTTGACATTCAAGTCTCATTTAGTAAATTTACAATTGTGCTTGTACATTGAAACAAATATAAATCAAGTATAGATATGCACAAAGGTTATTATCTTGACAAAAGTAAAGGGGGAATTATATAAACAGAATCAAGAAATATCGAAGCAACCAAGATGTTTATTCGGCCTGCATCAACTCCACTTTTGTCTGCTTCAGTTGCTTTTATACTGAGTTTTATTGTTGGGACACATGTATATGATCATTCAGTAGAGAACACTAACACTATGTCTTGGTGCATGTCAGCTCATATTTATTATTAACTGTGTTGGACTGAGACCAGCAGCAACAATGGGAACTTTAAGCAAAAAATAAGAGAAGCCCTCCAGTGGCTATCAGTATCATTAAGGGACAAAAGTGAATGAGGAGAGAGGGAGGGAGTGATTCTTTGAGGCATTAATCCAAATTGAATTACATTGAAAACATCTTTCTTTATGGCCTTGTATATTTCTCACTTTGTTTTTTCTGTTGCTCTCACTTATAAGGTCTTGAAGACATTATGTCATGAGACAGATTTTTTTTCAACATTTCCTTTAAAAACACAAACTAATAAAAACACAACAATCAGTATTCATATTCATTAGGCTCTCTCTATCTGTTAACAGAATGAATTAGCATATAAATAAGAGATAGCATGTGATAGAATCCGCTCTGCTTCAATCTGT